CACCCATTTCTTGATGGGTAACTACCCTTTCAAATTGCATCTTGTGAAAACAGCCAAGGAGCATTAAAGATTGAATGTAAAACTGCTTCTGGGCAAAGCTGATTAAAAAGGAATAAAACTACTTTAAAAGGTTGTTCTGAGTTATTTGGCAACATTTGCCTTCTGGTGAATGGGTGACTCAGATCTCACTGCCGGTCCTTTTCATCTGCAGAGCTGTGATTTTTATAGGAGACAGCCACCAGTAATTGTTGCTCTCTAGAGACTACTGACACGTCTCAGTCTAGCTGATAGTAATGAGTGATTATCTCTTTGCTTGATTTAATGAGCCTTCACAGAACCACACCTGCTTTGTCCTTAACTCTGTTCATTCAGCTTTCCAATTTTCCATCCACAAGGATAAAACTGATTGTGACCAAGTTGCCATAAATAATAACGAGGCTCACTTTGTTGGGGCTTTTTCTTAAACTACAGCCCCTAATTTGTTAAGAAGCAGCATTTTTTTTTTTTTTTTTTTGACAGGCAGAGTGGACAGTGAGAGAGAGAGACAGAGAGAAAGGTCTTCCTTTTGCCGTTGGTTCACCCTCCAATGGCCGCCGCGGCCGGTGTGCTGCAGCCAGCACATCACGCTGATCCGAAGCCAGGAGCCAGGTGCTTCCTCCTGGTCTCCCATGCGGGTGCAGGGCCCAAGGACTTGGGCCATCCTCCACTGCACTCCCTGGCCACAGCAGAGAGCTGGCCTGGAAGAGGGGCAACCAGGACAGAATCCGGCGCCCCAACCGAGACTAGAATCCGGTGTGCCGGCGCTGCAAGGCGGAGGATTAGCCTAGTGAACCACGGTGCCGGCTCAAGAAACAGCACTTTTAATCAGGTCAAACATAAGAAAAGAAAGCAGAGACACCTCAGCCAGTAATAAAACTTGACTTTAACCAGAAACACTGTTGACTCATCTGTCAAAATATGCTTTTAACCTAATTTAAAACTAATCTTAAAAAAAAAAAAAACCTAAACTAATAGAAGTCAGTGCCACATCTATGTAGTTATTAAGCAAAAACAACTAATTCAACTAGCAGTAAAATAAACCAAGTTTATCACTTTACATCTGAGAGAAGTGGGCTCTGCAGGGATATATAACAGGTAAAGTCCAAAAGTTTTTAAGAGAATACACAATATCAAAAGCATGTTTTCCCCAGGCTACTCTTTATTTCACAATGGTGCTAACATTTGAAAATAATTTGCTGTCTTTAGTTCTCTAGTATAAACAGACTACTCTATCTTCAAATAATACAACACTTCCCTACAAATATCAACTTTATTACAGGGAGTTTGTAGTAAAAATTTACTTCAACAAAGCAAACAAGATGCCACAATTAGAATTTTTTCAGATTATCTCATAACAATATAGAAACCAGGAAAACAGAGCAAAACATGTCAAGTGTGGGTTGACAGGATCCAGAGAGACATTTATGGATGGTTTTATAGCTCCCAGATCATACTTCTATTACCTCCCAAAAGCCATTCATGAGTGTATTGCAATGAAGATACAAATCATGTATGAATTTTTATCTAAAAGTAGAGTGTTTGTTGCCCTCTTGAGGTAAATTCAAGAACAGAAACAAAACAACTGAGTTTCCCTAGTCCATTACTGAAAGAGCCTTTCTTCTCCAAAGGGCTTTTTCTAGAAACATATCATAATTCGATCTGAAGTCAGCTAGTTTTAACACAAAGCCCCATCTCCATCTACACAGCAGACAACTTACACTCAGACTCCACCAGGCACTGGGACATTTCTAAAAAAATAAAGGTGGAACTTCACATGAAGAACAAAGCAAAATTTCTCTTTTCAAGTGATAAAAATGTCAAATAAGCTGCATGCCTCCTAAAAATTCATAATGCTGGTATTGGTTGGCCTGCTTCATATAATGCAGGAAACCCATACTGTACGATGACAAGCTTTGTGGCAAACTTTTATGGGAAAGAGGTGTAAGTCCAAGATATTCATAATTCAATTCTACTTAATATGCATGATCTTCAACATGGGAAGAGTTGCACTGAGAACGGAGTATGTAAGCATATAAGCTGGGGTAGAAGAGTCTAAAGGCCTCCATAGATAATCCTGATAGAGAATTTTCAGAGTTGAATTTCCAGTAACCTTCTGAGGTACTGCTATCTTTCTGATGTCTTGGGGTTTTGAACTAATTAGAGTTTTCTCCTCAAATCATATTCTGTGTAAGCTACGATTTGATTTTTCAGTATTATGAAGAGGAACAAGTTGACTTCCATCATTTTCCCTAAACTTTGAAGACTGCTGCGTTTTACAAAGCATGACTCATATTCACGAATGATCAAAGTCTTGAGTAAACAGTAAAAATATAGTCACTATCTCATCCTGCTATTAAAGCTCCTGAGGGAGGAAGTGATCACACTGCTCAAAGTCTGGATTCACGAACACAGAATTCACCTGTCACATTCCCTAAGGGCAATCAAATAAAAGCAAATTACTCTCCACATTCATTCTCTGCCGGTTGCTGAATCCTTTACACAGCCTCCTTGAGCTATCTAAATGTTTATTTGTGAAAAGTCACCTCTATTCTTTTCATTTTTACAAACTCAAATTATAGAAAAGCAAGTTATAGGGACAGGGAAAGTAGGAGGGCACAGACACAAAGATGCCTCATCTCCAACTGCAAGAGGTAGTGCCACCTAGGCCTTTAGCTGTCAGTAACACTTTGATCACTCACTCAAAATTCATTCGCACATGTAGTTCTGCCTACTATGTGCCAAGAATTGCTTTAACAGCAGGGTAATGAAAAACACCCTAGGTGCATTCAAATTCTGATCCTGCTTATGACCACAGAAAAAACTAACATGGGGCATGATTTCAACAACCCTATAATCAGTTATACATCTTCCCCCTCCTATGATGTAAATGGAAGCCAAAGAAAAGCCTGATAATGGTTGGAGAGAGGGATTAAGCAAAACAAAAAAACTGTATTTCCTACATTATTTTCAAGCTCTAATGATACACACACACACACACACACACACACACACATAAATGCTGGCATTATTCTGTAAGAATTGCTATAAAAACTGCTTTTTCACTTAGAATTCCTTGAAGATCTAAAACTCCTCCATGGATGATCTCATCCATTTACATGGTTATAAATATCATCTATGAGATTCTAATCCCCAATTTGTATTGCTAGCCCAAACTCCTCTTTATAGTCTACCTGGCATCTCTACTTGTATCTATCATAGGCATTTCAAACTTAACATACCCATTTTCTCCCACAAACCTCCTTTTCTCCCCATCCCTCAGTTTATGACAGCAATATCCAAGCCGAAACTTGGGTGTCATGCTCAATTCGTTCCTCTGTCATTACCCTCAACAAAATCTCTTTTCCATCACACTGCCACCCTCAGGCAAGCCAGGGTGGATATAGTCAGATGGTCTCCCACCTGGCTTCCCCCTTTCTCTCCTGTACACCTTTAATCCACATAATAGACGATGACCAGAAAAATCTCACCAATTTACTAGAACATGTCACTCCTCTGCTTAAAACCATTCATCTATTTTGTACTGCGTGACAAATAAAATTTCAATTTCTCAACAGCATATAAAATCTGGCCATTATCTAACACTTCAACCTCATTTCAAGATGTTCTCCCCCTTGTTCACTGGGCTGTAGCCATGCTGGCCTCCTCTCTGTCCCTAAGATGCCAAAGATTTTATCATTTCAGCGCCTTTATCTTATCCTTTCTGCTCTTAGCCTAACTGCTCCTCCTTCTACTTGAGGTCTTGGCTTTCTATCAATAATAGGAACCCTGCTTATTCTCTACCACAGCACCCCATTTCCATCACAGCACTTAGTCTACATAATCTGTTCAACTATCAGAATGTAAGCACCATGAGAGCAAGGACAATAGCTATGTTGTTCACCATGCTGTTTCCAATGCCTCAAACAGGGAAAGTACCTAGTGGGCCCTCAAGAAACATTTGGAAACTAAGAGAAACAGTATAGAAGTAACTATCCAGCTGTCCCTGAAATGTCTAAAAACAAATACTATTATAAGACTTTTCCCTCTTTAGTCATTAGACTATACATGAAATCTTAATATTCTTCCTGCTAAAATTCAAAAAATGAGGTATCAAAGAATGAAAAATTCTCTTTTATCAACTAAAATTCAGAATGAGGCAATGATTGTGTTACGGTTTGAATATTTGGTCCCTCCAAACCGCATGTTGAGATTTAACTGCCATTTTAACAGTGTTAAGAGGGGAGAACTGAGAGGTGAGTGGGCCATGAGGTCTCTATAATTCCAAAGGTGGGATTCACATGTATAAAGGACAAGTGAGTCTCCCAGTGATGGTGTAAAAATGTCCTTACCAGATCCTGGCACCTCAGAACTGTGAGCCAATCAACTTACATTCATTATAAATTAACCAGTTTCAGGAATTTTGTTACAGGAGCATAAAATAGACTAAGATGCCACTCATAAACAGAAATTACGTAATAGTTATTAGTAATTATAACATAACAAATTAAGCTTTTAAATAGTAACACTTGTTTCGTTGCTTTTATAGCAGGTAAATATTTCAGAGAATGAGAACTCTTCTTGGGTGTGCAAAAAATTCAACTGGTCCAATCAAAACCACTCCTGCAGGTTCAACCAGCGCAACACTGAAAAGCTCATCACAGATCATATTTTGTGAATCTCTCTACTATGTCAAATGGGCCACTCACTTTTTAAAAAAAATACTTCAATGAAAAGAATCCTTCCCACAAAACAGGACAGAATACAGGAAATAAGAATGTAGATATATGACAGAAGGAATTCCCATAGGTGGCTGCCAGGAGGACAAACTGACAACCACTTTGAAGAATATGATACAACAAGGAGAATATCATTATGTTCTTAGACTTATATCTACAAATCATACTGAATCTGTTAAAAAACAATTAACATTAAAATAAAAAATAAAAAAAAGGATTTCTTACTTGACTGCCTCGTAAATATTGTTGGAGGTATGTCCTGATAAGGCATCATGTAAATTTCGAATAAAATAATCTCTGTATTCTTCTGGGAGGGCCATAAATGTTCCACCCATCACAATAAACTCCACTTTATCCACACTGTGCCCAAGTTGTTTCAACTGAAAGACATACAAATTCGTCAGCATTAGAAAGATACAAGCAGGTACCTAAGAAGGCACTGTAAATTTCTAGTTTTACTTTGCAGTGTTTTCATTAGTGTAATTCAAAAACGAGAAGCAATCAAACATATTTAGCTAATTTTATGTATAAAAATATTCAAGTCGGAAGGAAAAATATTAACAGTTTAAATAAGGTGAGTGAGAATTTAAAATAATAAACAAGAAGCTTGACTTAAAACACAAAGATTACAAAAGAAAGCAGTAAAGATAAACTAAAATAATACAATACTCAATATAATACTGGTCACAGCTTTACGCTAAACTCTGTGGTAAGTCCTGGGGACAAGAAAGATATACTTGTCTGCATCTAAGATTGTGCAACATAATCAGGACTTGATGCAAAGGGGGAAAAAAGAACACTAGATTAGAAAGACAAATCAAGAAAGTGCAGGCGGCATCTCAAGCCTGCTTCTTGGAAGAGAACAAAGTGAAAGTCCGGCTGATAAAAATGAAATGTTATACCTCCTCTATTAGGTGATGGACTGGTACAAATCTCTCATCAACTACAGAAAGCCAAGGATGAATTCTTTAAAAAAGGCATTTAAATTTTTGTCATATCTTATTCCTGAGGAAACAGGGAAAGTACCAAATCATGTACTGGAATTAGTGTATTATATAAAGATGTCTCACTTGCTATGGACAAATGGCCCCTATTTATATTTATTTCTGCAAATGGAAAATAATAATTCATATAAAATACATATATGTATATGTGCACATACATATCAACACAAAAAGACCACTCTTATTTCTGTATCTATGGTTGCTGACAAAGGATACACACATCAAAATCACCTTGGAGCTTTTTCAAAATATCTTGACAGGGCCCTAAACCAGACATAATCAGAACTTGCTCAGGTGAAGACTTTGTACATATTTTGGCAAAATTACTCAGGTGATTCTGGAGCATTTACAGCTAAGAAAAGAATCATCACCCTGTATCTTTCAACACCCTTTTTGGTAAACATCAACATTTCACACTTTATTGAAACATAGTTTTAAATATTAAACCAGTTAAATACCACGGTTAAACAGAAATTAAAGCAAAGGTTAGTTTAGAACATGCTTTTCCAAACTCTGCATGCTTTCTGAGGTCTTCTCTTACTACAGACAATCCAGTTTGCTTCATGCACACTTGGACCACAGAAAAGTGAAAATTACAGTTGGACGGCATTCACTAAAAAACAGTTAAATAAACTCAGAAGCCACTCACTGTAGGGTACACGTTACTTTTTATTTTAGATTTCCTATTTGCCCTATTATAATTGCAACAACTACGGGTATGCTTACATTTTTAAATTTGGGCAAGTTCAAACTAAACTTGTAAACTATGAAATTTGTATTAATGTTCATATTTCTTGAACAATGCAAGGTCATTTACATAGTATGTGATTTTTGCTTCCTTTTTAATAGAATCAGAGTCTTAAAATTTTTCGATTTATTTTCATTTTTATTTGAGAGACAGAGAGACAGAGATAGAGATCTTCCATCTGCTAAGTCACTCCCCAAATGCAAGCAAGAGCTGAGGCTGGGTTAGGTCAAAGACAGGAGCCTATAACTCAGTTTGTGACTCCCATATGGGTGGCAGGGATCCATGTACTTGAGCCATCACCACAATCATAACACAGAATAACTCTATAACCCCCAAAAGTTCCTTGAACCCCTTTATAATTAATTCCCTACCCTTACTCAAGCAAACCAGTTAAATCCTTGATCTGGCTATTAGAATCCAAAATTCAACTCATCCACCTATTGTCTCAGAATGTTCGCACATTTTTATTCCATGCACTTCATATATAATGACTTTCTACAAATTGAAAAAAATGCAGGGAATATAAAACTCTTATAAAAATAATATACATTCTCTAAAGAACATAGCCTTTCTGACTTTGTTAAATAGTCTGCAAAATAGTCTCCTTTTCTGATGAATATCAAAAACTTACAAAGGGAAAGCTATTTTAGTTCTTATTTCAGGTTTAATTCAAACCAAGCAACAAGTTCTCAAGATGAAAATCTGATTTGCAATAATGTTTTTTCAAGAATTTACCTGCTCTATTCGGTGTCTTGTCTGGAGATAAGGGTCATATCTAGCACGGATAGCTCGCATGGAGGTTGGCTACAAAAGAAAGAAAAATATTGTTATTCCCAAGTCAGACTGAAAAAATTGTTCCAAAAGGGTTTTAGTAAAAATAAAACTCTGTACTTCTGAACACTAAAAAACCTGCCTGCACAGTCCTATCTTCCCTTTAGTCTTGACAAGGTTCAAAAAGCATCTGGCTAGTCTCCACCTCTGGTCATAAGTATCTCCACAGCAAGGGATCTTGGTGAATCAGATGTGTCTTTTCTGTAAATGTTTGTGGAATCCTAGGGTCACCAGCTAGACACAGAGCTTCTCAAATACAACACAGTTTGTAATGACGTATCAACAGGTCTGATGCTGTTGTCATACAATGGAATGCTCTACAACCATGAAACAATCCATTGAAATAAACTGTTCCCTAAGATAGGTTGCTAAATGAAAATACTAATGTATAAAAGAGTGTTTTGATACGTAACCTTAAATGTAAAAAAGTAGGATGAAGAATATGTGTGTGCTTGCATACCCATAAAATACATTTGGGCTGGCGCAGCGGCTCAACAGGTTAATCTTCCGCCTGCAGCTCCAGCACCCTGGGTTCTAGTCCCGGTCGGGGCGCCGGATTCTGTCCCAGTTGCCCCTCTTCCAGTCCAGCTCTCTGCTGTGGCCCAGGAAGGCAGTGGAGGATGGCCCAAGTGCTTGGGCCCTGCACCCGCATGGAAGACCAGGAGGAAGCACCTGGTTCCTGGCTTAGGATAGGCGCAGTGTGCCAGCCATAGTGGTCATTTGGGGGGTGAACCAACGGAAGGAAAACCTTTCTGTCTCTCTCTCTAACTCTGCCTGTCAAAAAAAAAGAAAAAAAAAAAACATTTGAAGACTGTAGAGGAAACAGGTAAAACTGATCATCTATTGAGGGAGGACAGGAAAGAGTGGCTATGGTATAGGAATAAGAGGAACCTCCTTCCACAGAATATTCCTTCCGTATTTTTAAAAATTTAACCATGAAAACAGGAAAAAGATGTAAGGAGAAGAAAAACCACTTGATTTGCTGACTCCTCATCTCTTCTGAAGAGACGACCCCTTTAAAGGCTGCTCACTGGTCGCCTGCTTGCACTCTTGTCCCACCCTAATCCTTTCTTCCATAGCTACCAAAATGACCTTCTAAAAACTTAAGTCACATTGTACCACTCCCCTGTTTTGAGCCCCAACAGCTATTCATGGTGCCTACAATAAAATGCCGATTCCTCACTCTGGCTTACAAACCACTACTTCACCTGTCTCTCCAACCTCCTGTTTCCCCTTTGTCACCATGCTCCAGAACACCTCAGGTCCTTTGCTCTAGCTACTCTCTCTGCCAGGTGTTGTGGACTGAAAAGAATTTGGCTCCCTGAAAGAATGCAGCTGTTCAAATCCCAAATTCTATGTGAAGGACAGATCAAGGGTGGAGACCTGATCTAAATGTGACATCTGGGAGTTGGGCTAGTAGGAGGTCTTTAGGTCATCAAGGGTTTGCCCTGGGGAGGCAGTTCTGGAGGAAGGGATGGCTGCTTGTTTAAGCTGAGTATGCTTCCTGTGTCTCTCTCTGCTTCCTCGCTTGCCAGGCAATCATCCCTCTGCCACCCTCTAGCCTCACTAATTGTCTAAACCAATAGGGCTGCCCAATCTTGGACCACCAGCCTCTAAACTCTGTCTTCTGTTGCTCTTCTCAGGTACTTTAATGTAACAAAATCACACTGATACACTCAAGTGCTCTTTCCCGATATTTTATCATTCAGGATGCAACTTACACATCTCTTCCTCAGAGAATTCCTTCTCAACCACTAGAGTCAGGATCACCAGCAATCAGGGAAATGCACATCAAAACCACAATGAGGTTTCACCTCACCCCGGTTAGAATGGCTCACATACAGAAATCTACCAACAACAGATGCTGGCAAGGATGTGGGGAAAAAGGGACACTAACCCACTGTTGGTGGGAATGCAAACTGGTTAAGCCACTAAGGAAGTCAGTTTGGAGATTGCTCAGAAACCTGAATATAACCCTACCATATAACCCAGCCATCCCACTCCTTGGAATTTACCCAAAGGAAATTAAATTGGCAAATAAAAGAGCTGTCTGCACCTTAAAGTTTATTGCAGCTCAATTCACAATAGCTAAGACCTGGAATCAACCTAAATGCCCATCAACAGTAGACTGAATAAAGAAATTATGGGACATGTACTCTATAGAATACTATACAGTAGTCAAAAACAATGAAATCCGGTCATCTGCAAGAAAATGGAGGAATCTGGAAAACATCACGCTGAATGAAATAAGCCAGTCCCAAAGGGACAAATATCGTATATTCTCCCTGATTGGTGACAACTAACTGAGCACCAAAAAGAAAACCAGTAGAAGCGAAATGGACACTATGAGAAACAATGACTTGATCAGCCCTTGTCCTGACTGTCAAGGAACAACTTAATACTTTATCCCTTTTAGTATTTTTTCTTTCTACTTAATACTATTGGTTGAACTCTTTAATTAACACATAATTATTCTTAAGTGTTTACATTTAACTGAAAAGTGATCCTTGTTAAATATAAGAGTGGGAATAAGAGAGGGAGGAGAGGTACAGATTGGCACACACTCAATCGGACTTACCCCAAATGGTAGAGTTAGAACCGTGCCAGGGGATTCCAATTTAATCCCATGAAGGTTGCATGTACCAATGCCTTCTCACTAGTCAAAGTGATCAGTTTCAGTTCATAATTGATCATAATGATGGGATTATGAGTCAAAGGGATCACATAAACAAGACTAGTGTTTGCTAATACTAACTGACAGAATTAAAAAGAAGAGAATAATCCGACATGGGAAGTAGGATACACAGCAGACTCATAGAATGGCAGATGTCCTAAACAGCACTCTGGCCTCAGAGTCAGCCCTTAAGGCATTCGGATCCGGCTAAAAAGCCCATGAGAGTATTTCAGACATGGAAAGCCAAGACACTCTGGCAAAAAAAAAAAAAAAAAAAACAAACCTAAATGAAAGATCTCTTTGAGTGAGATCCCAAGATCCCAGCAGAAAGAACGGGCCATCAAAAAAGGAGGTACCTTTCTGTGAAGGGAGGAGAGAACTTCCACTTTGACTATGACCTTGTCTAAATAAGACTGGAGCTGGCAAACTCAAAAGGCTTCCATAGCCTTGGCAACTCATGACAAGAGCCTAGGGTGATTACTGACGCCATCAACAAGAGCGTCAATTGTTAGATCAACAACAGGAGTCACTGTGCACTTACTCCCCGTGTAGGATCTCTGTCCTTAATGTGTTGTACTATGTGAATTAATGGTATAACTAGTACTCAAACAGTACTTTACACTTTGTGTTTCTGTGTAGGTACGAACTATTCAAATCTTTACTTAATATATACTAAGTTGATCTCCTGTATATAAAGATAATTGAAAATGAACCTTGATATAAATGGGATGGGAGAGGGAGCGGGAGACAGGAGGGTTGTGGGTGGGAGGGAAGTTATGGGGGGGAAAAGCCACTGTAATCCAAAAGCTGTACTTTGGAAATTTATATTTATTAGATAAAGTTTAAAAAAAATGGAGTTAGATTATCACCATTTTACTTAGTTGCTTAATATCTATTAGTATCTCCTATTTTTTGTTTGCTTCTTCATGGTCCATCTTCAATATCAGAATATAAGTGCTACTAAGACAAGCAATCTTGTCAGTCTTCTCACTGCTAAAAGGGCAGAACGATGCAGTGATGAGGAGCACAGAGTTCAAAACCTGGGTCTATATCTGACGAATGATTAACATCCAGAATATATCAGCCACTCAAAAAACTCAACAAAAACTAACCTATCTAGTTAAGAAATGGACAAAGGACCTGAATAGTTTCAAAAGAAGGACTACAAATGACCATCAAATATATGAAAAAATGCTCCCTATCACTAGCCATCAGGGAAATGCAAATCAAAACCACCGTGAGATATTCCCTCACCCCATAAGAATGGCTAATTCCAAAAGACAGAGAGCAACAAGGATGTAACAAGCAAGTAAGGATGTAAAAAACAGGAACTCTTACACTGTTGGTAGAAATGTAAATTAGAGCAACCACTGTGAAAAATAGTATGGAGATTCCTTAAAAACTAGAAATATAGGCCAGCATTGTGGAGTAGTGGGGAAAGCCACAGCCTGCGATGCTGGCGTCCCTGCAATGCTGGTGCCCCACTGTCCAATATGGGTACAGGTTCAGGTCCTGGCTGCCCTACTTCTGATTCAGCTCCCTGCTAATGGCCTGGGAAAAGCAGCAGAAGTTGGCCCAAGCATTTGGGCCCCTGCCACCCATGTGGGAGACCTGGAAGAAGCTCCTGGCTATTGGCTTCCGCCTAGCCCAGCATGGCAGTTGCGGCCATCTGGGGAGTGAACCAGCAGATAGAGGATCTCATCTCTGTGTCTCCCTCTCTTTCAAATAAATAAATCTGGAAAAAAAAAAAAAAAAAAAACACAACAACCAACCAATCAAACAAAAACCCACTAGAAATAGACTTCCTATATGACACAGCAATCCTACCACTGGGTTTTTACCCAAAGAACAGGAACTCACTGTATCCAAGAGATACCTGCTCCTCCATGTTTATAGCATACTGTTCATAAAAGCCAAAAATGGAATGAACCAAGGTGTCTATCATCAGATAAATAGATAAAAAAGAATGAAATTCTATCATTTGCAACAAAATGGAACTGTAGAACATCGTGTTAAGTGAAATAAGCCAGACACAGAAAGACAAATGCCACATATTCTCCCTTAGATGTGTGAGCTAAAATTTCAAAGAAAGAAAGAAATGAAGAAATGCCTGAGTTCACATCAGTTTTGTTGCAAACATACTGTTTTGTCAAACTCTGTTTTAAATGTTGTCAAACAAAATGAGAGGAACTATATGCTATTACAGTTTTAATGATTTTGTGACTATTTAAAAATTTACTATATTAGTGAAGTTAAAAATCTTTTCCTTTGATTACCATATATATCCCTTGCCTATTTTCCTATTGGACTATGATCTGTTTACTTTTCATATATTGAACTCTTTATTTAATGGAGCCAATACACCTTTGACTATAACGTAAATTTAAAATATGTTATCTCAATAAAATATAAAATATTAAAAAAAAATAACAACACTGGGTCTATTGCTTTCTAGCGATGTGGGTTTTTTTTTGTGCCTGTTGTTGTCTAAGCCTTTTATGCTTCGCTTTCGTCAGCTGTAAGCTAGGATAACAACAGTGTTCATCTTCAAAACATTGCTGTAAGGTTTAAAATTGTAAAGCACTTAGAAAAGTGTTTGGGATACTGAAATAGTAAATGTTTGCCTAAGTATTTCTCCAATGATTGGTACCAGTAGACAGTGAGTACACACCCACTGAATAAACAAATTATAATCAAGAAAAATAATGTTTAAATGTTAAGAAAGCCAGTACTTGTGAAACCACACGATGAGTAAATATGATGTCACAGCTCATCAGGACAATCTCAAATTACTTTACCTCATATCCAGTGTAAGACTGGGTTGAATACTCAAAATCTGAATCAGGTCCACCAGGGCAATATCTGCAAATACAGCAAAAGAACAAGGAGGTCAGATACAAAACCTAGTTCAACAATCTAGTTCAAGTATCCGCAGTCTCCATTAAACCCTGATATCAAAGAAGCTTCACTTTCAAATTCTATCTGTAAGTAATACTATTTCTACAGAAAAGTAAATGAGATAAATACTAAAGAAACACAATTGTATTCATTTTCCAAAAACCGCAGTCACTGTTATTTTGGAAGTTCAAGCTGGTAAGAGCAAAGAGCAGGACCTAAGCTTTTCTAAGTTTGGAGCCACACTCCCAGTGCTCTCTTGGTAACCATACTCAGCAAACTCTTTCCCTTGCTCAATTTTCCTACCTAAGGCCATGCATACTCTTCTGGTAATTCTTCTAAATATCTAAATTTTAAAAATCTAACAGCTACTTATAAGGATAATTTTTTGTTCTTTTCTGATCTGAATTCATGGTAAATTTTTGACATTTGGAATTTTGGCAACTCATGTTTCCATGCTTCATATATCAAGTTATCTATGCATTTTTCATTGCTTATGCAAAAATTAAAATCTTTATATGTCAGCTGTTCTTGCGGCACAGCAGGGAAAGTTACTACCTGCAACACTGGCATCCTATATGGGCACTGGTTTGTGACCCAGCTGATCTACTTCTGAGCCAGCTCCCTGCTAATGGCATAGGAAAAGCAATGGAAGATGGCAAGTGCTTGGTCCCCCATACCCATGCAGGAGCCCCAGATGAAGTTCTTGGCTTCAGCCTGGCCCAGCCCTGGCTGTTGCAGTCATTTGGGGAGTCAATCAGCAGATGGAATATCTCTCTCTCTCTCTCTCTCTCTCTCTCCCTGTTTTTCTATAGCTCTGCCTTTCAAATAAATCAATCTTTTTTTCTATATGTGTTCAATTTTTAAAATACTGACATATACTATCAGTGGTTACTTGTTTCAGAGAACTAAATCATAAAACTATTAAATCAAAATTTTAAATACTACCAGCCTGTACTAATCAATGGATCTAGAGGAGTTACTATTACTAGGTTCAATTAAAATATACACACACAACTTACTAAAGTTGTCATACTCACACACATATATTTCCTGTAAAACTGATATGTGGGCATCGGTGGGGTTTACACATCACAGCCACAACAGCAATCTATTAAAAAGAAAGATGAATAAAAATCTTATTGCAAAAAAAATTAACACAAAATTCTGGATTGCGGTTATCCATAAGAAGAAGGGAGAGAAATACAAATAGAATGATACAAAAGGGGTTTAAAAGGCATTGGTAATGCTGCATTTCTTAAGCTAGGTACAAGAGTGAGCATATTTTAATATCAACCATCTTTAAAATATACACAGGAATTGTCCACATGAGTTTATATTTTTATAGTAAATTAACTGCAAAATGAGAAATTAGCTTCTTTTTATAGAAAGCTTTTATTTAATAAATATAAATTACATAAGTACAACTTTTGGATTATAGCAGTTCTTCTCCCCATACCCACCCTCCCTCCCCCAAACCATCCTACCTCCTACTCCCTCTCCCATTCCATTCTCCATTAAGATTCATTTTCAATTATCTTTATATACAGAAGATCAACTCTACACTAAGCAAAGATTTCAACAGTTTGCACCCACACAGGCACACAAAGTATAAAATACTGTTTGAAGACTAGTTTTACCGTTAACTCTCATAGTACAACTCATTAAGGACAGAGGTCCCATATAGGGAGCAAGTGCACAGTGACTCCTGTTGTTAACAATTGACAACTCTTTATTTATGATGTCAGTGATCACCCGAGGTTCTTGTCATGAGCTGCGAAGGCTATGGAAGCCTCCTGAGTTCACAAACTCTGAAGTTATTTAGTCAAGGCCATAATCAAAGTGAAAGTTCTCTCCTCCATTTAGAGAAAGGTACCTTAGAGAAGTTAGCTTTTAAAGACACAGTTATTCTGTTTTATTCTATTAAAATAACCTTTCAGAAAAAAATTACTCTATAATTCTAAAAAATCATATATATAAACCTAACCGTTGCCATTCTAGCTCTTCATAGACATATGATACCCCAGTATTTAGAGCAGGGGCTATATTGTTTCAGAGCCTGAGTTCAAACATTCTCAGAGGAATTTGCAAGCTACAATTGGGTGAGAAAAATTATCTGCTTCAGAAAGTAGGTGGTGAAAGAGATAAAAGATTGGTGTTATCTGAGGCAGTTGGGCAAGCTGGGTTTCTTACTGGCAGAGAAGGAATTTACAAATACAGAAGGAACTAGGAGGGACTCTGTAGGCTGAAGAAAGTGAAGGTACTGTGAACTCAGAGTTTCCCACATAGAAACACAGATGGGTATGCATTATGGATGTAAGTGTGTGTATGTTTGTACAGAGGTAACCGGTATCACTTTTTTTTTTTTTTTTTTGGACAGGCAGAGTTAGACAATGAGAGAGAGAGACAGAGAGAAAGGTCTTCCTTCTGTTGGTTCACCCCGCAAATGGCCGCTATGGCCAGTGCACTGCACCAATCCAAAGCCAGGAGCCAGGTGCTTCCTTCCTGGTCTCCCATGCGGGTGCAGGGCCCAAGCACTTGGGCCATCCTCCACTGCCTTCCTGGGCCTCAGCAGAGAGCTGGACTGGAAGAGGAGCAACCGGGACAGAATCTGGCGCCCCGACCAGGACTAGAACCCGGTGTGCGGGCGCTGCAGGCGGAGGATTAGCCTAGTGAGCCGCGGCGCTGGCCCACGGTATCACTTTTGTAATGCCCTTGCTAAGGATGAATATCTGAATCCCAACATGAGGAAACATTTGGTACATGGTAGAAAAGATCCAGCCCAAAATCTTCAAGTGTCAAGAAGATGAAGTCAAGGAAAGACCAAGCCAGAGACACAACTAAAAGCAACATGTGATTCTGAACTAGGCCCTGATGGACACTATTGAAAGAGCTGGTGAAACTCGAGTAAAGTCTAAGGATAAGATGACAGTAACATATCACTGTTCTGGTTGTGACGGCTATATTGTAGTGATGGAAGAAAAGGCTCTTTTGTAGGAAATATACTAACACATTTAAAGGCATCCTGTTTTGTAATTTATTCTCAATTAGTTCAAAACTTCTTCATATTGTACTTTAAAATTTTCTGTAAATTTGTGATTATATAATAAAATTATTAAAATTGAGTTTATATCATAAGCAATAATTTATAGAGACTCCAAAATAATAGTTTTGCAAATCTCACTTTCAAAATATAAATTTAAAACTTGGGTTTTGAAACAAATGCTTTTATTTAAAATGAAACACAACTACACACACCACTGATGAGGTCAATTCAATCCAACAATCTTTTGGTGAATGTCTACCATACAGGCCAGGTTCTGTGCCACTCAGAACTTGGAGGGCCAAGAGTCTACACAATGATAATGGCCTGCCACTGGGCTCTGAAATCATACTGCCTAGCAGAGGAGAAAGACATGATTTTTTTTTTTCCCAAAACGAAATGGCAAGAAATTTACAGAAAATATTAGGACTATCCCCAAGGAAATCCACAGCCCTGGCCAGGAGAGTCGGGCAAGCCTTCCAAGGAGCTACCACCCAGGCTTGAGAGAAGTGAACTCAGATATGAAAGCAGGGGAAGAGGGACAGGGCAGCAACGTGTAGTTCTTTTTAAGCAATAGAGCTCTCCTTTCAAAGCGCATTTGACTTAGAATTTTAATATATAAAAGCAGCAAAAGCAACTGGCCTGGGAAGAGAAAGGGGATCTGCTCCCACGGTTTCTTCACTCTTTCGCATCTACAAAACTTCCTAGGAACACTGTATTTTAAAGGCGATGACGCTGGAGTCAACAAGGGAGACCCGAGTTAGAATCTTTCCTCTCTCCCTTACTGCATATTTTCCTATTTTGTAAAAATCAGAAAACATATCCGAAGTGTCCAGTATACTAGCTGGTGTATAATGGGTGGTCATACACGGTAGCTATTACGGTTGTTATCTACAGTGACAGTAAAAATAATAATCATGGTGTTCCAAACAAAACAAGCAGACAAAAACTCAAATATAATCTCAAAATAGATCACACTCCTAACTGTGAAATGAAAAATATAAAACTTTCAGAAGATAACTTAGGAGAAAATACATGATCTTGGACTTTATAATGAGTTTCTAGATATAATACAAATGCATTACCCATGCAAGAAAAACTTGGTAAGCTGGATTTCATTAAAACTTCAAGTTGTGCTTTGGGAAAGACATTGTTAAGAGAAAGAAAAGACAAGCCAAATACTGGGAGAAAATAACCAGAAAATACGTATCTGATAAAAGAGTTATATCTACAATATACAAAGAACCCTTAACACCTAATAAGAAAATAAACATCCTATTTAGAATAGGGCAGAAGGTCTGAACACCAAAGAAGATATGAATATGGATACCAAAATAAGTATATAAAAAATACCAATACTGCATGTCATTAGGGAATTGCAAATTAAAACAAGGACATACCACTGTATAACCATTGAAATTGCTGAAATCTAAAACACGGACAACACACAGAATGCTGGCAAGCATGTGAAGCAAGCACTCTCATTCACTGCTGGTGGGAATACCAAGTGGCACAGCAGTTTCTTACAAAGCTAAACACAGTCTTATTATAAGCTCCACTAAATGTGCTCTTTGAATATTTACCCAAGCGAACTGAATGTCTATACAGGTGTATGCAAAAATCTTCACGTGAATATAGGTAAAAGCTGTTTGTAACTACCAAATATTGTAAACAACCAAGATAGTCTTTCAACGAATGGATAAACAAATAATACATCTCAGGGGAAAAAAAATAGCAATGAGCTATCGAGACATGAGACGGCATGGAGGAACCTTAAATGCATGTTGTTCAGTGAAAGAAGCCAATCTAAAAAGGTTACATACCTTATGATTCCAAATACATTGCATTCTGGAAAAGGCAAAACTATAGAGACTAAATACATCAGTGGTTACAAGTTAGGTTTAGAGCAATGGGAGAAGAGAGAATAACAGGTTTAGGACAGTGAAATTAGTATGACAGGATAAAGACTGCTATATGACATTACCCACTTGGCAAAACCCATAGAAACTATACGACAAGAATGAACCCCAATACAAACTACAACATCAGTTAATAATAAAGTAGCAATTGGTTTATAAGTTATAACAAATGTACCAAAGCAATGCCAGATTTTAATAATGGGAAAACTGGAGGAATGAGGGAGAGGTATATAGCTGTGCATTTTCTGCTCACTTTTCCTGAACAGCAAGAATAAAAGCATGGAGGCGAAAAAAGTACCAGATTGGAGGTGAGAATCATCTGCATGTTTGATATTTTTGACAGAACACGCTGGTGCCATTATTGAAGACAGATTTGGTTTAGTTAAGAAAAATAAACCAGGTAGGAAATGACTGAAATAGTCTAAACCAGAAACAATAGAAGGAAAACATTCCTACCACTGGTGAGAGAAAGACAATATACTTCACAGTTTCTGAAAACTGAGTGGATGGTGGCACCCTGCACTAAGATGGATGGGAAAGATGAATGAGCAAATTTGAGGTCAGTTTTGGTTACACTGCACTTGAGATTCGAAGGAAGTAGAGGGACAGATGTATAACAGGCAACTTGAGTCTGAAGGCTGGGAAAAGGTCAGAGTGGGGAATCAACTTATGGCAACACACAAAAGCATCACACGATGAGATTTACAAAGACAGCAGGTCCAGGACTGTGGGGAGCAATTCGGACTAGACTAAGTTACTGGAATTAAGACTTATTCTATGCATCTGCTCTCCCACTGTGGGGAGCAACTCGGACTATATTGTTACTGGAATTAAGACTTATTCTATGCATCTGCTCTCCCACAATATGGCGCTGGGAGAGAAGAAAGAGGCTTCTACACAGCTGCCTCCAGTTCAACCAATAAACTGTAGGACTTGCTCCTGATTGGAGGAGAGCAGCGTGCTCGGCGTGTGGGCAGCCGAGTTGGGATTGGCGGAGGAGGACTATAAAGGAGGAGAGAGACGGCATGCACGAGGAACATCTAAGGGGAACATCTAAGGGGAACACCTGTGCAGCCCCCCAGAGATCCGGCCGGCGGTGTGCCGCTCCCCTGCGGAAGTGGGGAATGTGGCCAGGGGGAACTGCCCTTCCACGGAGGTGGAAGGGACAGTAGCCAACCCGGGAAGAACCAGCAGCAAACCCGGGGAGGGCCGAGCAGACGAAAGAACAGCGCAGGGTCCTGTGTCGTTCCTCCACGAAGAGGGGGAGCGACACAGGACCACATAGTCTCAACTTTTATGTTCTTTTACAAGCTTCTCCCAAATTCACTCTTCAACCTCATGTCCTGCTGCTCTCCAAATGAACTACCAATGTGTCAGACTGAGGTACCCACTCTTCACACACCACACCTTCTGCATCTTCTCTAACTCTGCACCTTAGTTCTCTGTGCCCTGACTCCCGTGACTATTCAAGACTGTACACACAACTTGTAGGCCAAGCAAGCACCATGCTTTCTACTGTGTGTTGCATGACCCCTTCATCTGCAGGGTCATCTCTGTCCTCTGGACTCCCATAGTGCTCCTATTGCGTCATTCATTTCACAACTGCTGCAAATACAACTAACTTGTATTACTACATGCCTTTTTATCGCTCATATTGAGAGCTATCAGCTTAGCGTGGCTACCGACATTCACCATCTAGTGACAGTCACCAACCTTCAACCTGCACTTTTAAAGACTTCCCAACACCACCCACTTCTTTAAGCACACCATTTTCCATGCTGCCCTCCTGGCTTTGTCCACGTCTCCACTCCAGTGCTGTGTTGTCACAGATGGACTTTACGAGTCTGAATCCGCCACTTCCACCTCACTTCCTGGGTGTTACACACGGGCAGGGATTTCCGGCACAACAGATACACAGTGTGTTATTATTCCATGAGTTGAGTCACTCACCCCACTGGCAGTCCTGATGGGTTTTGCCTTCAATTTGGGGACTAAGATTTTTCGGTACTGAGGAGGGACTGCAGCAATGATGTCTACCAGGCGGGGCTGTGCTGAAAGGCCGTATTTGGCAGCTGTCTTGGTTTTCACCCTGCAAGGAAAGCAGCTAGCATTATCAAGATCACAACATGTCTGGCACAAGCTCCCAAAAGGAACTATAAATAATACTGACCCTGTGACTCCCCTATCCCTTTACCAGGTGGCAATAGTGGCTTTAATACCTGAAAATATCAGAGAAATAAAAGAAAATTCATGAACAGAAAACTTCTCACCTTCAAGCACCAGATAGGAAAGCAGAGGACTACCAAGGAGGGGGTCTGGTTCAAAATAGTGCTCTTAGGGGGCAGGTATTTGGTGCAGCTGTTAAGATGCCACTGGGGGGGGGGGGCAGAGCTGTGGTATAACGAGTAAAGCTGCCACCTGTAGTGCTGGCATCCCACATGGGCGCTGGTTCAAGTCCCGGCTGCTCCACTTCCAATCTAGCTCTCTGCTATGGCCTAGGAAAGCAGTGGAAGTGCTTGGGTCCCTGCACCGAAGTGGAAGACCCAGAGCAAACTAATGGCTCCTGGCTTTGGATTGGTGCAGTTCTAACCATTGAGGCCAGTTGGGGAGTGAACCAGTGGATAGAAGACCTCTCTTTCTGCCTCTCCTCTCTCTTTCAAATAAGTAAATAAACAAAAAAGGGGGGGGGGCGGGGGGCCGGTGCTGTGGCACAGCGAATTAAAGCCTCGGCCTGCAGTGCTGGCATCCCATATGGGTGCCGGTTCGAGACCCAGCTGCTCCACTTCCGATCCAGCTCTCTGCTATGGCCTGGGAAAGCAGTAGAAGATGGCCCAAGTCCCTGGGCCCCTGTACCTGTGTGGGAGACCCAGAAGAAGCTCCTGGTTCCTGGCTTCGGATCAGCTCAGGTCTGGCCACTGCAGTCATTTAGGGAGTGAACCAGCAGATGGAAGACCTCTCTCTCTCTTTCTGGCTCTACCTCTCTCTGTAATTCTTTCAAATAAATAAATCGAAAAGGAAAAGAAAGGAAAGGGAAAGGAAAGAAAAAAGAAAAAAAGAAAAGATGCCACGGGGGGCTCCCACATTCTAAACAGAGTGCCTGTATTTGAGTGCCCCTCCACACTTCCAATCCCTGCCTCCTACTAATGCACACCTTGGGAAGCAGCAGATGATAACTCAAGTAGCTGGGTCCCTGCCACATGCATATGAGACCTAGATTGGGTTCCAAGCTCCTGACTTCAGCCTTGCCATTTTGGGGGACCAGTAGTTGGAAAATCTCTCTCGTGGGCTTTCAAATAAAAATCAATTACTTGAGGCCAACACTGTGGCGCAGCGGGTTAAAGCTGCCTCCTGCAGTGTCAGCATCCCATATGGATGCCAGATTGAGTCCTGGCTACTCCACTTCTGATCCAGCTCTCTGCTATGGCCTGGAAAGCAGTAGAAGATGGCCCAAGTCCTTGGACCCTTACACCCACATGGGAGACCCAGAAGAAGCTCCTGGCTTCGGATCAGTGCAGTTCCAGCCACTGCAGCCATTTGGGGAGTAAACCAGTGCATGGAAGACCTCTTTTTCCTCCTTCCCTCCCTCTCCCTCTGTTTCTACCTTTCTCTGTAACCATGTCAAAAAAAAAAAATCTTAAAAAAAATATCAATTAATTAAAAAAAAAAAAATCAGTGCTCCAGGACTATCCTGACTGTACTTGTTCTCAACCTCAGCAGTACTGACATTTGGGAGCAGCTAACTTGTGTTGTTGGGGGTTGTCGCGTGCACTTTAGGATAGTTAGCAGCACCCTCAGCCTCTACCTACTGACATCATTCTTCTCGTTCTAACAGCCAAAAATGTCTCTAGACACTGCCAAATGTCCACTGAGGAGAAACCAGTCTTACAAAGAAGGAATGTTTATGCAGAACCAAACAGGAAATAAAGTTTATATTTCCCAAAGTTTTAAAAAGCTCTTCTAAATACAAAATTTTAATAAAATTTAAATAAAACACTCCTATTTTAGCAATTATAAACCAATCACTTTGTGCCCCTTCTGGGGCATAATCCAATCTCTAACTCTCAAAAAGTAACCTTTATCCTGACTACTAAATCCTTTGCATTTCTCTACAATTTTTCCAGTTTTCCTTTTCTTTGTGCCCGCTGGTCAAATCCTAATAGTCATTCTGTTTACTAACTTAAATCCATCTACAAAAACCTTTGGGGTGCTTACATCACATTCAACAAATGCTACCTGAGTACCTAACAAGTACAAGTGACTACCCAAGTATATGCTATGTCACAAGGCACAAGGCAAAGTCTTCGTTTACTGTGTTTGCAGAAAGGCATAAAAATGTGATACAGCCATGTGTGATAAAAATACACACAAACAAAGCAGAGTGCTTTCAGAGTTCAGAGAGGAATTTGGTGTGTGCTGGGAAGACATTCACGGAAAACAGGCACACAAGAAAGAACAGGCCTCAGACAGGCAGTGAAGCCACAGATGATGCTGAGAGAAGAGGCTGGCGCACAGGAAGATGCAGAACCAGGAATGCACACGTTTATAGAAACACGGGTAATATGGGCACCGAGTCAAGACCTGGCTGCTCCACTTCCAATCCAGCTCTCTGCTGTGGCCTGGAAAAGCAGTCGAAGATGGCCCAAGTCCTTGGGTCCCTGCACCTGTGTGGGAGACCTGGAGGAAGTTCCTGACTCCTGGCTTCAGATCGGCCCAGCTTTGGCCATGGCAGTCATCTGGGGAGTGAATCAGTGGATGGAAGACCTCTCTTTCTCTCTCTGTGTAACCCTGACTTTCAAATAAACAAACAAATCTGGAAGACCTTTCTCTCTCTCTGCCTCTCCTTGTCTCTCTGTGTAACTCTTTCAAAAAGAAACATGGGTAGACCAACTTGATAGAAAGTTGGGAAGGCAGAGAAGCTTAGAAAGTTGGAAGAAGAGAGGCCAGCACTGTGGCATGGCAGGTGGAGCCACGCCTGCAGTGCCAGCATCCCATATGGGAGCCAGTTCATGTCCCAGCTGCTCCACTCTGATCCTGCACTCTGCTATGGCCTGGGAAAGCAGTAGAAGATGGCCCAAGTCCTTGGGCCCCTGCACCCATGTGGGACACCCAGAGGAGGCTGCTGGCTCTAGAACGGCACAGCTCCGGCCATTGTGGCCATCTGGGGAGTGAACCAGCGGATGGAAGACCTTTCTCTTTCTTTGCCTCTCTTTCTCTCTCTGTGTAACTCTTTCAAGTAAATAAATAAATCTTTAAAAGAAAACAAGTTGGAAGAGAAGCGTAAAGGCAGCCTGAGAAGCCTCATGTAACAGACTGGGGACATCTGAGGAGGGATTAGTATTAGGAAGTGGGCAGCTTTCGCTTTAAATGGGCTAAATTAGAGTAGTAAAAGCACGCAAGGAGGAATGCTCACTAGACATTAAAGATTTACATAATTAAGGGTGCAACTAATAAAAACAAAGAAAAACTGCTAAAAACATGGCAGGAAAATGAGTAAATATAATGTCTCAATAGTCAAAAACAATAATAATTAATTACTTCTTTAGCAAATGTTCACGAAGTGTGATGCTTCCAGGAGAGGGTAAAAGACAGCAGCACCTCAAGGCATACAGAACGGAGTCGGAAATGTCACACATGTGGTGATGAGAGCTTTTCATTAGGACAGGCCTCTGCAGGAAAGAGTTTTAAAAACTAGATGAGGGATGAGCCGGCGCCACGACTCACTAGGCTAATCCTCCGCCTAGCGGCGCCAGCACACTGGGTTCTAGTCCCGGTCGGGGCGCCGGATTCTGTCCCGGTTGCCCCTCTTCCAGGCCAGCTCTCTGCTATGGCCCGGGAGTGCAGTGGAGGATGGCCCAAGTGCTTGGGCCCTGCACCCCATAGGAGACCAGAATAAGCACCTGGCTCCTGCCTTCGGATCAGCGCGGTGCGCCGGCCGTAGCGCACAGGCCATTGGAGGGTGAACCAACAGCAAAGGAAGACCTTTCTCTCTCTCTCTCTCTCTCTCTCACTGTCCACTCTGCCTGTAAACAAACAAACAAAAAAAAACAAACTAGATGAGGGATGAAAACGGTGCAGTGAAGTGGAAGCTGAAAGTGATTATGTAGAGAAGTGGAAGAACACATCAAAGAGGCTCTTGGGTAAGAAAGGGCTGGATTAGGTTGTCTTGGCACTCAGCTGTCACTTCTGCTAAGACAGTAGGGAAGCGAAGAGGATGAGGTGATGTTAACAAGGACTCCCAAGACACACGACCTAACTTCAGACCCCAGCTCTGCCAACTGCTAGTTATTTACCCCTGGACAAATTAGTTTACCTCTCTATGGCTCAGATTACCCATCTATCTACCCAATGGCAGTGACAGCATTACCAACTTCATATAGCATGAGAGGATTAACTGAGCTAATACATACAATGCACTCATACCAGTGCCTGAAATATAGTGAGTGTCCAATAAAAGGTAGAAGCTGTTAGTTCTATGAGGCAATGAAACAATTTTGCGATAGAGAAATAATAGGGCAAAACAGAAAGTTACAATTCTCTACCAGAAAACATGAGCTAGAAAACAAGTAGTATTAGATAACTTCATAAACAGGATTTACAAGACCGTCTTCTTTTAACAGATCCACTTACTTATTCAGATCAATGTCTTTCCCCTGCTCATGGGCTTCAATCAGTTGTTTAATAACATCTCCTATAGTCAGCATCATCAGCTCAGCAGGGCTGAGATCTCCTGGAAAAATAATATTCAACAGCAGTTCAAAATCATATTATTCCATAAAGCTTTGAAAATCTTTAGCAGCAGTTTTCTTTCCAAAATCACTCCTAATATACCAAATGAGTAACGGAAGTTCCTAAGACACACCTCTATGTTTACAATTTGATCTCCTTTGTATTTCAACTTAAAACATTCCTGGCTTTCCCGATACATGGCAAAGGGTCCCAGAAGAAGCACATATACTGTGAGAATATGACAGACAGATACAAGGCCAGCGTTGCGGTGCAGCAGGTAAAGTTGCTGCCTGCGATGTTGGCCTCCCAGGTGGGCAACAGTTTGAGTCCTGACTGCTCCACCTCCAATCTGGCTCTCTGCTCATGCACCTGGGAAAGCAGTAGAAGATGGCCCAAGTACTCAGGCCCCGGCACCCACATGGGAGACTTGGAAGAAGCTCCTGGCTCCTGGTGTCCGTCTGGGCCAGTCCCAGCTGTTGGCCATTTGGGGAGTGAAACAGTGGATAGAAGATCCTTCTCTCTCTCTTTCTCTAACTCTGCCTTTCAAATAAATAAATAAATAAATCTTAAAAAACAAAACAAAACAAAGATAGAAACCTTACAATAATACTATAAGGCAGATATACTGCTGTCCCACTTCACAGAGGTAAGTAACGAGGTTAAGGCAAGTTAAAACATCACTGTAAATGGCATAATTAAGACTCAACTCCAGGTCCTTTCACTGAAACTTCCAGGCTTTCTTCACTGTACCACGCTGCCTCTAGTGAGGCAAAAATAATACTCATAAAACAGTTTGAGAGAAAAGTCCATTTATAATAAAAGGACAAGTACTTCCAAAATCATGTAACCCAGCACTTCAGAGTTCTACAAAGGTATTCAGAGGCCATGTCACACAGGCCAGCCTGCTGGTGGTGGTGGCAGGAGGGAGAGGGGGTCGATGGCTCCTTTCCACCCCCAGCTGCTCTGATTTTATCTGTTTACTTACTGCGGTTCTGCATAAGAACTTATTTGGAGAGTAAAAGGAGATTTGCCTGATACAAATAGATTAAATTTCTAAACAAATATTTAATTAAAGAGTCCTAGAGCGCGCTAAATCAACTCTTTAGATGACTTACCTTGGAACAAAGCGTTCCCTAACATTTATGCAAAAGGCACCAAGCGACTGTTAACAATATAGAGAGTAAGGGCAGGTTGGCTTAAAAATCACAATCGGCGAAACGAGCGAACAGGGGGCTGCAATCAACAGGCACACTGACCACAGGGGGCGGGGCGACTATATCGGGCAGCAGACTCCTGCCAGAAAAACTGGGTTCAGCACCTAACCGTCGCAGCGTCAGCCGCTGGCCGACCACCCCCCTTCTCCCTCCACCCTCCCTTTCCGTACCTTTCCGCTTTTGCTTCATTTCTCCGCCGCCGTCGCAAGTGCCACCCGACACGAGTCGCTACGAACTCAAACCACGGGGAAAGTTGACAGCCGCAAAGCACCCTTGGCCTGTCGTAAAAAAGACGGCCACTGGTCGTAAAGCTCTCTGCAGAGGCCGGCGAGCGCAAAGTCCCGCCTCACGTCTCTGGGGACTGCTTGCTGGGCAGTTTAGGGCAAGGGGTGGTAGCGTGTAAATCGGAGATCTGCTTGGGGATTAGAAAGCTTGACGCCGGCGCCTCGGCTCACTAGACTAATCCTCCGCCTTGCGGTGCCGGCACACCGGGTTCCAGTTGCCCCTCTTCCAGGCCAGCTCTCTGCTGTGGCCCGGGAGTGCAGTGGAGGATGGCCCAAGTGCTTGGGCCCTGCACCCCATGGGAGACCAGGATAAGTACCTGGCTCCTGCCATCGGATCAGTGCGGTGCGCCGGCCGCGGCGGCCATTGGAGGGTGAACCAAAGGAAGACCTTTCTCTCTGTCTCTCTCACTGTCCACTCTGCCTGTCAAAAAAAAAAAAAAAAAAAAGCTTGACTTCAGGGTACATAGATGGGGCAAAAGTGGCTGTGCCAGGAATCCTGAGTTTGGTGGGTGGTCTCTAATGGGGTATAGGGGCTCAGGTGCGTCACATCCGGGGAAGCTGCGGGAGCGTGAACCCTGTAGTGATGGTGGAAATCAATCGTAGAGCCTGGCAGGAATCGGTGGCAATCTGCCGTTTAGGCGTGGCGCCGGGTCACTTCAGTCTCAGATGAATGACACTTGCCATTGTTAATCGTCGTGAAAGTTACTCATGTCTTTCCAGAAAAACAAACGTGAAAGCAGTATGATTTTGACAAAAACAAAGCGAGGTTATGAAAGAAGGTTCTTACGCATTTCTGATAGAAATGATAGCAAAAGACTGCCAGAACTGCAGTATTACGCAGAGATTGCCAATAATTCGATACAAAACGCTTCAAGGACTCTGGCCCAGCATCTGTCTGCTTAACCAACTCATGCCATTCTGGTTATGAATCTTTGCGGCTGTAGATTATTTTTCACAATATTTGATGTACTCCCCATTTTGCCCTTAAAAGCATTTTCTACGCTCACCATCGTTGAGTCCACCTATAACTTACTGTGGCATATGAGTTCCATTTGCAATGCTCTATCATCATTCTTTGGAGAATCCCTCTCTGGTTTTTGTTATTTAGTCTGACACATACGTACACAAATTTTGTAGTTTGGAGGCAGGATTTATGGTAACTTTTCCTGAAACTCATCCATGAACCCCTTTGTCTATCAGCTAGAGATTAAGAACCCTCTCGTTAAAAACAGAAATCTGTGCTGTCTCCACTTCCTCCCCACTGGAATTCAAGTAACTTCATCTTTGACCCCACTCGGACAACGAAACTGTCTTACTAAAGCTTTGTGACTCCCATCTTGCCATCTTGTTCTTATTATCTTATTATATCTTATTATTATAGCTTATTATTGTGCTACTACCAATGACTGTTACCTTCCTCAAAAATCCTTTATGGTAGCATCCTCCAATCTCTTGGTTTTTCTTTTGTTTTGTTTTTTTCTCAGTCACTTTTATTAAGTCATGTATTTGTTGGACTGATTCACCTCTGAATAGTGGTATTCCATAGGGATCACTCAGCTCTATCTCTTCAAGGCAATTTTCAGAGTATCATTGCTTTAGACACCATCTCTCTGCTCCCAGGCTTATAGTCCAATGCCAGCTTCTCTATTTGATCTGTTATTAGACATGAGTGTGTAATAGACATCTCAAATTGAACAAGAACAGAACTTTATTTTTACTCCAAGTCTGCTCTTTCCACGCTCCACCATCATCTCCCTTTTTGCTCTTTTATCTCAGAGAAACAGACAGAGGTCGCACAATTTTTCATTTTAAACAGGGGTTAGGATAGACCCTTTTGAGAATGTGATATTTGAGCTAATACTTGATATGCATGTATCTGGGGGAAGAGAGTTCCAGGCTGATGGAACAGTTAGTGCAAAGGTCCCAGGATGAGACGATGCCTACCCTAGTCAAGGAAAGAGGTGAGCATCAGTGGAGTAGTGAGTGAGGCAAAGTGCAGTAGAGGTCACGGAAGCCGTTGGGTGGGAGAGGAGGGTAGTGAAGCTCACATGAACATCTTACAGGCCCTCAAAAAGCCTTTGGCTTTTAATCTTCAGTGAGATGGAGAGCCACTGGTGTTTTTAGCAGAGAAATTCAATGACCTGATTTTACCTTAACAGTATGTCCATTTGCTGTGTTGAGAATAGGTAGTGGGGATCACTTTGCCAGTGACTCCCAGACTTCAATGCACGTTAGAATCATCTGGAGAGTGGCAAACTGTCCTTGTGCCCAAGTCATATCTCATCCTATTAAATCAAAATGTCAGGGGCGGGAGCCAGACGTTGGTCTGTTTAGAAGATTCTTGAGTGCTTCCCATGTGCAGCAAAGTTTGGGAACCACTGAACAAGGCCAGAGGTTGTTGTAACTCAAATCATGGTAGTAAGCTGTGTCTGTGGTGAAAAGTGTTCAGATTCTGAATATGTTTAGAAGATTTTAACAATATTTTCCACCAGAAGAGATGTAGGATATAGGATAAAGGCAGATATCAATGTTAAAGATAACACCACACCAAGGGCGGGGGACATCAAGCCCCTGGGCCTTATAAAGGCCCATGAATTCATTTGGTCCTGCCAAGGCAATAGCAGGCAGGACTCGAAATTCGATAAATCTACAGCAGGTTAATTTTTAAGTTGATGATTTTGTATGGCCTGCAAATGGTATTCTAAATATCCAAATAGCCCTTGGTAGAAAAAAGTTTCCCCATAACCAAGGGAATGGAATGATATAGTTGCCAGGAGCTAAAGTGCAGAAGACTGTAGGTGGAATGGGGTTTTGAGGGGATTCCAGGGTGGTCTGTTTTGTATCTGAATTTGGGGTGCCTGGTAAGCAAAAGCTATGAAGCAGATAAGACTGGAAATAACAGTCAAGAGTTATAGGCATACGGGAAAAGTTAAAGCTATGAGACAGGAGGAGTGCGGAAAGAGACAAGACCAAGGACTGAACCTTGGAGAATTCTACTAACAAGTTGGGGAGGAGGAATAAACAAGCAGCAAAGGAGAGGGAGGAGGTGCCTCCAGGGAGATGGCCTCCAGGGAGAGCGTGTGATTACCTGGAGCCTGAGAGAATGTGTGTCAAGGAGAAAGGAATGCTAAGCTGAGTCAAATCTGATGGCCAAGCAAGATGAGAGTTGAAGTGACCAGGATCCTGGGGGACTTTGGCAAGAGCAGTTCTGGTAGAATGCTAAGGGCGAAGGCTTGACTAGAGTCTACTTATGATAGTAGTGAGAAGGGAACAATTTTGATCCAATGAATTTAGACAACCCTCTTGAGGAGTTTTTTCCTAAAGAAGTTCAGGGGGATTGGCATTTGTTATGATGGTTAAGACACCAGGCCGGCGCCGTGGCTCAGTGGGCTAGTCTTCCACCTGTGGCACTGGCACACTGGGTTCTAGTCCCAGTCGGGGCGCTGGATTCTTTCCCGGTTGCCCCTCATCCAGGCCAGCTCTCTGCTGTTGCCCGGGAGTGCAGTGGAGGATGGCCCAAGTGCTTGGGTCCTGCACCCCATGGGAGCCCAGGAGAAGCACCTGGCTCCTGGCTTTGGATCAGCGCAGTGTGCCGGCCGCAGCGGCCATTGGAGGGTGAGCCAACGGCAAAAGGAAGACCTTTCTCTCTGTCTCTCTCACTGTCCGCTCTGCCTGTCAAACAAAACAAAACAAAACAAAAAAGACACCAGTTAGGATGCCCAGAGTCCCTGGGTTCACTGCCTGGCTCCAGCTCCCGATGGTCTCTTCCTGACAATGCAGACTGTGGAGGCAGCAATGCTAGCTCAGGAAATTGGGTTCCTGACACCCACATGGGAGACCTGGACTGAGTTTCCAGCTCCCAGCTTTGGCCCCCAGCTAGTCCTGCCCATTGTTGATATTTGAGGAGAGAATCAGTGGATAGGAGCTAGTACCCTCTCCCTCTCTCTTCCTCTTTTCTCTCGAGACCTCTCTCTTTTTCTCTCTCCCTTCTTAATAAAATGGAAGTGAACGACAAGTTTGTGTGATGATAGGAATAATCCAGTGGTGAATCAAAGTTTGATGAACTAAGGGGAGGAAGTGGTCTGCTTATTCAGTTGGAGAGAGGGAGTAGAATCTGATGCACAAGAGAAGGGATTAGCTTTAAAAAAAAAACACAAATGTTTTAATTTATTTTTATTTTATTTGAAAAAGCAGAGACCTATAAAGAGACAGACAGGCAGGGAGAGCATCTATCTACTTGTCCACTCCCCAAATGCCTGCAATAGCCAGGCCTGAACCAGGCTAAAGGCAGAGCCCAGAACTTCAATTCAGGTCTCCCATATGAGTGGCAGAGACCCCACAACTTGAGCCATCATTTCTCTCCTAGCATGCACATCAACAAGAACCTGGGATTGGTTTTGGAGCTGAAACTCAATCCTAGACAGGCTGATCTAGGATGAGGACATTCCAAGCAGTGTCCCAACAGCTTCCCCAAGCACCTGCCCCCAATGATTAGCCTTTGATGGGCATGTGGCTAGTTGATCTATTAACAGACTGCAAGGCAGAGAGTGTGATAGGTGTTTGGTGTGATGGTGGGGCTCTATGAAATTTCTCTTTCAATTGCTTCCATGTTTTCAAACAGTTCAATGAAAATTCAGCCTGATAGAATGATCAAAAGTCTAACAGTCCTAGTATTCAGGTGTTCCATAGCAGGTGCCAAGGGCTATCATAAAGAACCCAGGAAGTTTTAAAATTGCTCAAAAATAATGTTAGTTATTAAATAATTTAGTAGCACTTCTGCTTAAGAACTTGAGTACAGTTAACTGCTGAGGCACAGAAATCACCAGTAGAGGGAGAACTAAGCGCACGTGACAGGCATTGATGTCTGAGGGAAGAGATTGTGCAAATAGGCCCTGTTGGCAAGTTAGTTTCAGTTCCACTGTGTACGTGTGGCTTTACCACTGTGTCCAGAAGGGCTGTAGACCCAGCTGGTTCCAAACATCTGTGCCAAGACAGAGAAGCCATCTCCTTTGTGGACTCCTGGAACTGAAGCCTAAAACGTTTCTTTTGCCTATCTAGTGACACCTGGTAAGTTGTTTCTCTTATGTTATTTATACTGTAACCTGCGGTTGTTGTTGTTTGTTATAAACTACATGTTTTAGAGCAGGTTTATATTTACAGAAAAAATGAAGAGTCTAGTTCAGAGTACATCAATATATTTGATGTCCAATTTCCCCTATGATCTGAGTATCAAATATTTTACAATTAATGAGCCAGTATTGGTATATTATTCTTAACCAAAGTCTACACTTCATTCAGATTTGTAGTTTATTTCTAACATTCTTTTCCATTCTCGGGCCCCCTCCAGGACATGACATTGTCTTTAGTTACGTCTCCTTCGGCTCCTCTTGGCTGTCACAGCTTCTCAGACTTTCCTGGTTTTTGATGAGTTTGATAATTTTGCAGAGTATGGGACAGGTGTTTTGTAGGATTCGTCTCTGCAAGCATGTGTCTGAAGTTTTCTTATGATTACACTGGAGTTAGGGGTTTGGGGAGGAAGATCACAGAGCTCATGCAGCGTTCCTCACGTCATGTCAAGGGCACACACTGTCTGCAGGATTTGTTGGCTGAGGCAGTGTTTGTCAGGTTACTCTTTGCCCCCTGATTTCCATACTGGACACTTTGGAAGGAAGTCTGTGTGCCAAGCTCACAACTAAGGAGCTGGGAGTCATGCTCCTCTCCTGGAAGGTGGATGGATAATCTGCCTGAATCATTTGGAATTCATCTGTATTCTAACTATTCCCTCTTGCCTGATTGTCTTAAAGTAGTTTTTTGTTTTGTTTTGTTTTGTTTTTTGTAGAAGTGGATCTTAAGGCAAAAGCCAATGAACTATAACTGGAGAGAATCTGCTTTTAGTTTGAATTTTGCCTAAGTGTGATCTTAGGCAAGTCATTTATCATTGCTCCCAAAAGAACGATTGCAGGCATTGTTGGCAGCAGCACTACTTCCTGATAAGAAGGGAAACGTTGTCTTATGCCTCATTAGCTTTGACAAGCTTGGGAGAGCAATACGAGAAGATTCAAATTCATTTCGTTAGAATCTGATAAAGTACGTTATGAAAATTTCTGCTTATTTTATTTACCTGTTCACCTGGGGATAAGGATGGAAAAAAAAAAAAAAAAACAGATCCTACCAAAGCCCTTTCTATTGCAACTGCCTCCTGAGGCTACAGTGTCATGCACATTTGCTGATGTGTTAATGTGGAAAATGGATCTCTTTTCCTTTGAGGACTTGAAGACCCTTGTTTTACCTTTGGTTTCTAAGCTGTTGTGTTTAAATTGTTCCTTTGGGAAATACATTGTTTGCAAGAACAGTACAATGTCCATTAAGATGGGAGGAAATGTTGCCAGTGCCAAAGGTACTTGAACCTGAACCTAAAACTTAAAAAGAAGGGAAATAGATCCTAAATGTCATCAACATTCCATCATTTTATGAGAATCTCTTCATCCCTATCCCATACTTCGTCCTACCTCCTCATGGGAGGATGACCCTTGATCAAATCCATCAAGGAGGATGGTATAGCATCCTCAGTGTGACAGACCCTCGCTCAAGAATAGAAGTCGGTCCATCAGCTAAGGTGGCATCTGTTGCCCCCAAACAAAATAGACCTGGTCCACATGAATCCTGGCACTGATTTCTAGTTTGCTTAGCTTCACAATATTCAAAACCAATATTTGTACAGATACTTAAGTGCTTATAAAGCAATTTCATAAGAATTATCACATTTAATCTATATAGAGGTGTTCCTACTCTATATTTCGGAAACTGGGGCTCAAAGACATCAAGTGATTTGTCCAGTGTCACATGGATATGTAGGAGCAGGATACAAAAACTCAGGCATCCTGACTCCAAATCCTGATTAATTTCGTCCTTACCATTTACAGTTTGGAAGGCAAGTCCTGTGTGCAGGCACCTTGCCCTTTTGTTCTCTTTTAAATTCCCAGAGTCTAGAACAGTGCCTAACTCACATAAATGCTCAACAGAAATTTGTTGAATGAATGAGTAAAATAAATACAATCACTATCATTATTAAGCTTACCATCTAAGATAGATTCAAAAGGTACACTTCATCCAACAAATATTTGCTCACTGCTTACTGTGCACCAAGGATTTGTTTTGCAAATGGGACTAAATCGATGTTAAAATGTCCCTTAAAGAAATGTGTTCATTTAAGCACTTAAATTTTTATCTAGTAGTGATGTTTTGGGGGCAGAGGTGGGAATGAAAGAACCAAAAATCCTCTCAAGAGGGGTCAATGAAGTGAAGCAAGGTAGGGTGAGATGAGATTCTGATGAGAGAAGTAGGGGAAGGATCAGGACCTTTCTAATTCACAATAAACACACTCACTTCTGCAGTAGACGTAGAACAGTTATGGTGGCAATGGACTCCTCTAATGCTCTCTCTCTGGTGCATTTTACTTCTGGGGGCATTTTAGGGTTTATAGGCAGTAGCTTTAGCTTGAATCCCTATGTGCACTTTTATCAAGTTGTTGCTCTCCCTCCTATTCAACAGCTTTCACTCTCCAAAAACGCCTTTGGTGGGTACTTGAGATAACCCTCCTTTGTGGGCACTACTCCTGCCACTTTCCTACATTTGTTTAAATCGTGCCCATTGATGCTTCTTAGTGTAATGCAAAGAGCAATGAACTTGGAGCCAGGAGACCTGGGTTCAAGTCCTCATAGCCATTCCCTTACTAATGTGACCTTGGACAATTTTCTTCCCTTCTCTGAATCTCAGTGTCCAAATTAATAAGAGTTCCAATATTCTTTATTTAATTCTACCATATGCTGATGAATTTGTGTTTGCCTCTGTTATTTTTCTACAAGAAAAAAAGACAGTAAGTAAACACAAACAGAAGAAAGAGAGAGTGAGAGGAGCAAGAATAACTGTTAAAAGTCACAGTCATTTAACAGGAAACCAGTTCTGTGCAGCCTTCCTGTGTTTAGCTAAATGTGCAGAGTCTTGTTTAAAAGATGCTATTCTTAAGCCCAGGGCACATGAATGTAAATAAGTATCACAAGCAAAACTGCTAACCACAGAGTTGGAATATGTTTACAAGTGAAAGAAACCACTCACACAGAACCTGGCCTGACTGAGCAGCTTTGAACTATTTTCAACTGCTTCTCCACAGAAACCAGACTTTTTAATTTTTTTTTTGACAGGCAGAGTGGACAGTGAGAGAGAGACAGAGAGAAAGGTCTTCCTTTACCATTGGTTCACCCTCCAATGGCCGCTGCGGCCGGTGCACCGCACTGATCTGAAGCCAGGAGCCAGGTGCTTCTCCTGATCTCCCATGGGGTGCAGGTCCCAAGGACCTGGGCCATCCTCCACTGCACTCCCAGGCCACAGCAGAGAGCTGAACTGGAAGAGGAGCAACCGGGACAGAATCTGGCACCCCGACCGGGACTAGAACCCGGTGTGCCAGCGCCGCAGGCGGAGGATTAGCCTATTGAGCTGTGGCACTGGCTGGAAACCAGACTTTTACAGCATATGCCACCAATTGCTCCATCCCTTTGGGACAAGTGGATCGTGGCGTCATTTGAGGAAGGACTGTGTTGATGACAGTTGTTGACAGACATTCCTGTGTACTTACCCATGGAATAGCTCATCAACTCACTTTCTTGTCCTAATTCACTTAGGTTTTGATGTGCCTTTGCATTTTCAACTAATTTCCAACTAGGGACTGATTGTGTTTCTCATGAAATTAAGTAATCTCAAACAGAAGTTCCACTATCAGCATTTCCAGTGAGCATTTCACAATAAAAACATGGAATCTTGGGATTTGAAGAAGCCCTCTAAATCATCTAGCTAGTCCCATGCCACCATTAGGTGGCTGAGGTGGGCTCAGCTACCTCCAGTGGCAGGAAATTCATTACTTTCTAATGGAGCTCATCCCATTGGTATGATTCTGACTACTCAAGACTGGTAATCCCAAACACTTTCTTATACCTGCCATCTAGTGGATATGGTTCTACCGTCTTGGAACCAGAGAAGATACATACCACCTCTCTTCTGTATGTAGCTCCAAGGCCATAGGTTTGAAGACCACTGTGCAATTCCTTCCCCTGCTTCTGCCTTTGCCTGTGTCTTCGTTTCTATAAGGAAGGTGGTTCCCAGGCTTCTGGAGAAATCCTCATTATTAATGCTGTTCCAATGCCATGCTTGTCTGTCTGTTCCTACTCTTTGCTTTATCCTTTAAGCTGGGGCTCTAATCATATAATGAAATGAATTTGGCTTTTGTATACATCTTTCTGTACATTTTTTGTACAAATAATGGCTAGGGAGATCCATTCAGCAAATATTTATTGTCAGTCATTGCTCTTCTTAGTAGAAATGTAATGTTGAAAAAATGCAGTCCCTTGACCTGGAAGAGCTCATGTTTCAATAAGGAGGAAGGGATAAAACAAAGCACAGTCAACAGAAGGGTGAGTGGCACAGTGGGGACAAAAGAGAGGAATGACTGGGAATCCAGCACCATTTCACAGAGAAAACGCTAAAACAGGATCCTGAAGGAAAAAAAAATACAACTTGGAAGAACAGGGGAAAGGCACCCACTAAAGGCTAATGATCATGGAAGTGCAGTGGATACTCTGGTTTGTGGAACAATAAGGAGTATGGGATGGCTTGAGGGAGGGCCACAAGAGAAGGCGCTGAGAAGTAGAGAGCTGAGATCTTGCATGTCACTGGGGTTCGCAGCACTTCTTAGCCAGGCACAGTGGTTAGTGTCTACAAGCCCAACTAAGAACTGTCTCTTGGCTGACTTGTTGTGGCTTTCACTTGTGGGTAATGTGTAAATGAAGCAGTCTCGCTAATACCTATGGATCTCATGGGAGTGGACAGATCAGGGGGTTTTGCATATTTCAGAAGGGGCTGGTGATTCTGCTTATGAAATTCACAGCTGAGTGATCCCAACAGAAACATTAGCTATGGAGAGGAAGCACTTTGAGTGCTACCCATGTCTCCCCCAGATTCTCTTCTGTGGATGAAGACAAAATAGCTCCAGGATAACATGTTCCCAAACACTTCACACAGTGCCCTCTGTTAGGTGCATCCGTGGGTCTCCAGGTCTCCCTACCCACCATGGCCCATTTTCTGGGGGGCTGGACCCAGGCTGGCTCTGACACTACTTTTGGCTGTGCCTCTTTTTCTCTCCCTCCTCAGATGCTCCATGTTTCAGGGGTGTTTTAGGCCCTAGCAGGGGTGTCCTTCTAGTGGAAATGGGGATGAGGTGGTCTGGCAGGTCCAGGGAACTGGTTTCACATCTCGCCACTCCCAAGCCCCCAGTGTAACTCTGACACCTGCAAAGGCTTGTGGCCTGGGGTGAATGGAAGCTGAGAATATGGCGCTAGCTTCTGAGAAAAGAAAGACATTATCACACAGTCAACTGGAAAGGAAACACGAGGCAAAGCTCAAATCTGTCTCCCCCTCTGGAACCTGGGGCAGGTTTTAGGGGTTAGAGAGGACAGGCTGGTATGCAGAGACACTGGCAAGGAAAGTTCTGACCAGGGACCTTAGTGCTGGGTCCTGCCCCATCTGTTAGCTAGACGCCAAGCACCTACATTAGGATCTCCGCCAAGAAGCAAACATTTCTTGGATACTTGTCCCTTACCCGGTGTTACCAGCCCAGGGTGACTGAGAATTAATCTGCGGGGCTTTCTAGATTCAGTTAGATTCAGACAGAAACAGTTTGTTCTGAAATGTGTAGCTTTCAGGATCTCATGCCAAATCTTTACCCAGGAGCCATCCAACCACTTAGGGTACATGCTGAACTTCTAGATCCATCCCAATAGCCCAGTGTCATCCTTATCCCACGCACACTCACTTGACTCCAGAGCACGTCGAGGGCTCAGTCCATGCTCGTCTCCATGGGCCGGGAGAGCCCCCACTACACCTGTTATTGACATAACAGGACCTGAGCTGAGCCTGTGATCACAGCTGTAACCCTACGAAGATCAAAGGTTCCAGCCACCTCCCAGATTTTTGCTGAGATTCATTGGCACTAACTAGCACTTGCATAACGCCCTGAGACTTAACCTGACTAGAGCACAGATGTCACTCCAAGAAGCAAAGCTACGTGAATTCACCCTCACGGCTTGGGTCACCAGAGGTTTATTCTCACTCCAGCGTGAGCCGTCTTCAATATGTCAGATAGCAAAGTTTAAACTTTTGCAGACACAAGTGCTCCAGAGAACCAATAGTCACACATTGATTGTTGTCCTGTTTAAGCCAACAAGTAGTATACGTGGCACCTGGAGAGAGTCCAAGAAAAGTTAAAATGATCATAACCAATGCACAAGCAGATTTACACATTCTTAGATTTTGTTTTTGCATCTTCAATTTCTTCTACCCCAACCCCTCTTTGTATTTTGTATTTTCAGGCCAGTTCTCCTAAGTGGACAGGAGGAAGAGTTCGCCTAAGAAGAGATGGCAGAAATTGGGGATTTGGTGGATCAGGAGCCACACCCAGGTAACATCCCTGGAGCATCCCCTAGTGAATAAATAGGAACTTAGTGCTGTTATCTGACCAAAGCCAAGTGGGTGAGACCATATTTAACTGTAGCTGTTATTCCTTACTCTTTATTCAGAAACTACTTTCTCATAAGTTTCAATAGTGAATGCCTACAATAACTATAATAGCTATTCATAACAAAGGGAATTGTCTGACCAGCTATTAAACTTGTGGGCTTTTATTTTCTTAAAAAAAAGAGACTGATCTGGAAAATCACCTTGGACATTCTAGAGATAGCCTGTTTCAGGGGGACAAGGCAAGGCCCTAGCACGGTGTCAGGTGGCTTTCCTTGCAGAGGAAAGGTGTGCATGGTAGAGCCTGTCCTTAAATGGTGAAGCCCACTGGAGTCAGGGCAGGTGGCCGCTCTCCCTCAGAAGCTATCATGGGGCCCCTGGAGCTAATCAGGGAACTTTCCCAAGGATGATGTCAAGAAAGTAACCCCCTCATGCAGAAAGCAGGAATGTATCATGACTTGTGTTTTGAGAACTGAGGAGAGAGTGTGCTCACTCCCAGGAGATGAACCCCTTAGGGAGAAGGAGGCTGTGTTTCCTGCTCGGTGGGTAGTGAGCAGCCTCTGAAGCACGGCTGGCCACGAAAACTGGGAGAACGAACCTTGGGGCTCCCCTTGGCTGCAGTTAGCCCTGAGACGTGGGGTACTTCTCTTGGAAGATGCAAGGGATCTGCGGAAGGTTTGAGTGAACCGTGAACTTGCATCTTTGTCCAGATCAGTTTTCAAAAGTGACACCTAGTGGCCGCATGAAGCAAAAGCAGTAGTAGCCTGAGCATTTGGGGGGACTGCCTCCATCCACCCCTACTGCTCTTTGCTAGATTCAGCATAGAATGCTGGAAAGGACAAGGCGGAACCCAGCAATGAAAGATAAGAATAAGAGCTTTGATCCAGGTTCAGGCCACTTCATTCCAATTACTGCTTAATGTAAAAATACTGCCGTTCATGACTGAAATCCAGAGGGGAATACTGTCTCCTTTCCATGTGGTTTTTCATTTTAGATAATGAAAGAAGAGTTTAAAACTCTGTTATTTTTTTTAAAATTGGACTTTTTAGCTTTTGCTTTGGTTGAGAAGTAAGTTTCAATCTTTCTAATCTTTTATCAGATTAGTTAGCAGTCCTTAGAAGGTTGAATTAAGGGGCCCCTGAGATATGGACTGTCCTTTGTTTCATAACATGGCTAACAGACCATGCAAACACTATTTACACAAGAGTTCATGAGTCGCAGAGTCCACATCCTTTTATGTTCTTTCCACAGACAGGTTGTGGAAACATCCTGGAATTCTGCGATGCCTTTTGGATCCCAGACTGAAGTGTTCTTCAGCCTGTAGCTGGCTGAGATGCCTGAGTAGCATACTCTTTTCTTCCCCGGCCCAGCAACCACTTGGTATTTAGTTTAATGCAGTCTTTCAGCTGAGCCAGGGTGAATTCTTCCAGTTGCACTCAGTCATAAGTTAGCATGTCTAAGAGAGGAGGGTGTGAAGTACAAATTCTTTCAACTCCCTGTCGCTGCCTGAGCATGAGGTGGCAAAGATTCAGACCTCAGAAAACAGCATGGCTCTGTGCTAAAATATCCTATGAGGTGTGAGCTGGCTCGGGAAGGCAGCAGGATTTGTGCTGGCACATGCAATGCTGAGCGGAGCAGGGAGGCTGCCTGAGCTGTCTGGGAGACCCACATCTGGAGCCCAGTGGCAGAGGCGGGGCCTTCTGCTCAGACAGTCATCCTGGGTCCCCAAGGGAAGCTCCTTCTCTGCCATTCTTCAGGGATGAGGACCTCCTCATGTCTGTGAACTTAGAGTGATAGGACTCTTGGGAATCCACTCTTCCAGTTCACCTCTCAGCCATTTCCTAAGGCACAAGCTAGCCCCAGGGCCACTCACTGGGCTGGGACCCTTCCCAACCACCTCCATCCCAAGCACCTGCCTGTCACCCCTTTCTCACCTGGTGAACATTACCAAGAGGTGTTTGCTTAAACCCATCTAGAACATAACATTTGGGTTAAACCCCTTCCTTGGGTTTTTGGGTCCCACATAGCCCACTTTATAATCAAAGGAGACTATGTGAGTGAATCTCTGCAGAACTACACAAATCTGCTTCTGATTTCTATTCTTGCATTTCTAAGGAAGCTGCTGCTAACATCTTTCCTTGTGGAAAGGTAAAAATCTTCCCCAAATTTAATCTCCAAGGGAGATCATCTTATAAAACACATCTCCCATCTCAAATTCTTATAGTGGTGTCGTCAGTTCTCTCATTTTACAGATGAAGGAACTGAGGTTCAAGGAGAAGTCGTTTGCACTGGACATATGGCCCCCTTCTTTCTTCCACGTTCTGCTCTTTGAAAAAATAGTTGCTGGGTCTGGACCAGGCTGAAGCCAGGAGCCAGGAACTCAATCTAGGGTCTCCCCTGTCGGGGACAGGTACCCAAATACTTGAGTTATCACCTGCTGCCTCCTAGGGTACACATTAGCAGGTGGCTGGAATTGGAACAGAGCCAGGACTCTGGCACTCTGGTATGGAATGAGGGCATCCCAAATGGAGTCTTCACCATTTCACCAAATTCCTGCTCTGCATTCTGCTTTTCATCAATTTCTTACCCAGTCTGAAAAGAACTCCCAGAAACCTTTCTTCATCCTAGACTTAGTCCTATCTAGGCCTTTTCTCTGCACAGTTGGTTGATTTCCTAGCTCTTGACATTTGGCTCAAAATGTCTACCACTTTAACTTCTAAGGGACTGCAGAGAGGAACTTCTAAGGAACCTGCAGAGATCTGTAGAACTCTACATTTTGGAGCTAAATGCAAAAAGTCCCATGACTCTGAGAAGTAGGCACCAAGGTGGAATGACTCAGCAATGATCTTTTCCCAGTGAGCTACCTGGCAGGCGAAGCTGGCAGAGGTCCTCTTAGAACCTTGGGGTCTGGACACTGATAGAAGTGAGGCGAAGATACCGTGCCCCTGGACCTGTAGTTTCATAAAACTTTTCTTTATCTCTAGTAGATGATGACTTAATTAGAGAGCCAATGAAAAAAAGGCGGCGACTGGATCGAGACCGGCGGTTCCGAGCGTTTCCCTCGCTGGAGCAAAGTGCCTTTAAGGAGTGTGAGTGTCATGAGCTGTGGTGTGGCTTGGCTTAATGTGGTTCTGGGTTCTTCCAGCTGTGTAAAAGGCTCAAAGGAAGAGAAGGCTACATCTGGGAGCTGGATGACACATCTTCAAACGAACCTGTTCCAGAAAGAGAGATCTCAAAGGACCTGCAGCTCTTCACTGCAGCTCTTCATTTGTCTCCAGGTGTCTGGGTGGGAGGGCTCTTATCGAAATAACTGCTTCCCAGTTAGAGCAAAGACTGTGAAAATGCACAGTTGGTTCCTTTCAGGGGTGTTTATTTGGTGTGCTTGCATTTGGCTTTTTGTGTGCCCTCAGGAAAAAAGCAATCATAAAAGGCTAACAGCCATGGCGAAGCCTACGATGACATCTGGAGTTTCAGAGCAGACTGGCTATATGGAGCTTTATAGAATCCATGGTTGTTATCTCCAATGAACTACTATCTCTAGTGTCAGAAAACTTATTATCTTGTATAGCTGGCTTTTCATTTCATTTCTTTTCTCCCTGCTCTACAATATTCTACAGTCTCCTTCTTTGGAGATCTGGTACTTGGTCCCTGCCAGGTATGTTAAGGTAATGTGTCCCTGTTGATTCCAGATGAAAGATTGGAGTCCAGGACCAGACGGGTTTTGAGCAACACTTATCAGAAACTTATTCAGTCTGTCTTCTTGGATGACAGCATTCCTAGTGGAGTCAAGTATCTCATGTGAGTCTGAAACCCACTACCTTTAAACCTTGCTTTAGTGTAACACCTTCAGTGCTCATGGGTATGTTTCCCAAAAACAAGGGGGAGTTATCAATCAGAAACCAAGCAAAGGCTAAACATTTCTGCAGCTTGGCCCATAATAATAATTCTTATTACTGATCGTTGCCATTCACTGACCGTCACTATTGTCACTGGCCGACTACTTTACATGTAAATCAAACTTCATTTAATCCTCCCAATACCCCTGTCAAGTAGAAGCCATTATCATACTCCCCATTTTACTGAAATTGAGGCTCAGAGAGGCTAAGGCATTGAGCAAAGTCGCATTGTTGCTAAGTGAAAGGGCCCCAAATCCCACCCAGGTCACATGACTTTAAGCCCAAGACCCAATGATTTATGCTGAGCTGACTTGACGACTTGAGCCTATGTCTCCTTCTCAGGAAAACTGTGGGTTGCTCCTAACACTATGTTACCCCTACACAAATGTTATTTCTAGGATCAGGAATATGCAGTTTCTGTAGAACATAAATAAAGATGCCTCACAGCTATATAGACATTACAGGAATTGCATAGAGCTATTTTACCAAATAGTTTTTGCAGACATCAGAGACTCAGAAGGATGTAGTTCCTTGCCAAAGGACAGATCTCAGTTCCTTTGCATTCTGTCCCAATGTTCTTCCCAGTACACTTTGATCATGATCATGTGCATTTAAACATTGATCCAGAAATAGGCTTCTTGCCTTGATTGAAAAGCCTTCACTGGACCCAATCTACGTTGGATTATTTGGGAGCACAGGGGCTGGGAAGAGCTCCCTAATCAATGCCATCATCCAGCAAGCCATGTTTCTACCAGTGTCTGGAGAGAGTACATGTACTTCGTGTATTGTGCAAGTGAGCTCAGGCTACTGTGAGCAGTATGAGGCTAAAATCCACCTTCTTTCTGACCAGGTAAGTGCTTACTCCTTCCCCGCCCCACCCCCTTCCCTGCTTTTCAATCACTGCTTATTTGGCCTGTTTCCTCATTGACAAAACTTGGATAAGATGGACTTGCTGGATAAGATGAATGTACTGTCACACCGTCTTCCACAGGGCGCAGTGTCATTGTTTTCTGTGTCTGTGTCATGAAGGCTTGTCCCTACTCTGTCTTGGCAGGAGTGGAAGGAGGAGCTTAAAAACTTGACTAAACTCCTGCACAGGACAGAGGACCTGAGTGGAGAAGAGGCAGATGCATGGGACAAGGATGATGATGCCATGGAGGAAGCCATGTGTAAGCTACAAGTGGTGTATGGAATGGGGGCAGAAAATAAGAGTTACAAGGAGTTACTGAGGGCAAAGCCCAAAGCGAAGATTCCCACCTCCAGAATCATCACCCTCAAGGCAGAAGAGGTAGTTTCAACATTGTTTTTTCTTTATTTCATGGTGGGTCTAAAGCATAACAATTCAGTGTGTTTAGGGCAGTTGCTCAAAGTATAGTGTTTCTGGGAGAAATAAGTTGACACCCAAATCAGAATTCCCATGACTCAAATTATCTCTCACCATTTATGGTTGTCAAATAAGAATCTTGGTGTCTTAATGGGAGGATTTTTGTGCACAGAAAAGACCATTAGCAGTTACTTGAAGAGTAATTTGCAATGCTTTGGCTGCAAATGATTTTTAAAAGTCTTATAATGACTCAAATAAATAGGAGTTTATTCATTTTCTCATATAAGATGTCTGGAGACATTTGGGGTCTTATATTGGTTTAGTGGCTCAGCAATGCAAGATTAACACCTTTTGGATTCCCTTGACCTTCTATCATACTCATAATAATAACATTTCTGCTGAATTACTAGACATCACAGCTAGCCTCATGAAAAGAAAAAGTAGATAAAAGGTAGAACCAACCACATAGCCTCTTAAATCAGGAAGTAAAAGCTTTCCCAGAAACACTAATGACACATTTCTTCATTGTTCATGGCCCTTTGTAGCTGAAAGGAAGTCTAGAGAAAGAAAAAGACTTGTCATTATTTGCTTAGACCTATCTCATTCCACTGCTTCCCCAAAGAAGCAGACACACAAAAAAATCAAGATTCTGCTGGCATAGACAGAAATGAGGATGTATATTGGATAGACAACTGGTAGAGCAGTATTTTTGCCTTTATAATCATTATTCATTTTATTAAGATTTAATTTATAAATTAAAACAAATTATTTATGGCGCCAACATTCAATTTACTGAAGTACATTTAAAATTAAACCTAGCTTTCCTTGTGTAGTAAAAGTCGTCTTTAAAATGTTGCTATTCTTTTTATAAATAGGGCTATTTTTGTATAAAAGAAGAACAAAATAAGAACACCTGTCTCAGAATGTAATGATCAGTTATCTCCTGATTGTAAGACAAATCATCCTTAGTTATTGAATGTTACTTACATAATTAATCAAATTTTCTCAGAAATTTTACAGTAAAGTTTAATATAGTCTCTCAAAATATTGTTTATTAAAATATTGTTTATTAGTCTTAGATACAGAAGAAGGGATGGAGAGGGAGATAGAGAAAGAAGAAAGAGGTGCAAGGGGAGAGAGAGAGAGAGAGAGAGAACTTCCAGCCATTGGTTCACCCCAGAATGCCCACAAAGGCCAATACCGGATCAAGCCAAGGCCTAGAGCCAGGAAGTCAATCCAGACCTCCCACGTAGGTGCCTGGGACTACTTGGTCTATCACCTGCTTCTTCCCAGGATGTGCATGAGCAGGAGGATGGAGTAGGAAGCAGAGCTGATACTTGAACCAGGCACTCCAATCATGGATATGGTGTCCCAACTGCTAGAGCAAATGCTGCCCCATTCCTCTCAAATTGTTTTAAATACTTGACCAGCCACGTTTAGAAATAAATGAATGAAACCTTTTCAAAACACTTAGCCATCTCTTGTATACCTAAAACACACACACACACACACACACACACACACAGTATCTTTTCTTATATTTAAATGAGTAACACTATTAAGATGATTATATTCTTTTATCTAAAATATAGACTGACCATATAAAGAGAAACACATTGATTACAAATCTGGGTTGAATACATATAACTTACCCAAAGGTATCGATATAATGTTTATTTCTTCCCCACTTCAGTATTAAATACTCCTTCCCAGCATTACAAATTTACCCATTGAAACAAGGGGAACAGAATTACCATTTAAATGGTTGAAGTTACTAATTCAGGTTTCCATCAGGAATTCTGGGCTGAGATGAGGAATCTTAGCTTTCATCCATAATGCGTGGCCCTGAACCATAATTTACTGGGTGAGTCCTCTTAATGAAAGGGGCTCTTCGAGCCTATTCCTTTTCGTGTTCTTCCCCTTTAACATATCTGCTCAAGTTTTAAATGAAAATATCTTAAATGTATGTTACTATTTTCTTTTTCGTAATTTGTCCCTTGATTAGGACTAAAGAAATCTGTTACTCCATACTCAGACTGCAACAAATCCACTGATTTAATCTAAATTCTGAATTTGTAACCTTCTCTTTCTTTCAGGGTCAGTCTATATATATTTATTAACAATGACCACTATACATTCCACATTTTCTGTCTCCTGAAGTACCCCAGTTGAGATTCACTGCTATGGTTGCTGTCATAAACGTGTTGTCCCAGGATGCATTTAAGCAGGAACATAGGCCAAGCTCTATTCCATGTCTTATCCACTCTCATTAAAATATTTTGGTCCAGCTATACATCAGGTTTCTTTTTTGTACACAGAAGATAAATTTTTTTTGACAGGCAGAATGGACAGTGAGAGAGAGAGAAAGACAGAGAGAAAGGTCTTCTTTTTGCTGTTGGTTCACCCTCTAATGGCCTGGCCGCCACGGCCGGCACACCGCGCTGATCCGAAGCCAGGAGCCAGGTGCTTCTCCTGGTCTCCCATGGGGTGCAGGGCCCAAGCACTTGGGCCATCCTCCACTGCACTCCCGGGCCATAGCAGAGAGCTGGCCTGGAAGAGGGGCAACCGGGACAGAATCCGGCACCCCGACCGGAACTAGAACCCGGTGTGCCGGCACCACAAGGCGGAGGATTAGCCTATTGAGCCGTGGCGCGGGCCCACAGAAGATAAATTTTAAAAACCTTTCTTTTCTTTCTTTCTTTTTTTTTTAGGACACTTATTTATCTGAGAGACAGAGTTAGAGATAGAGACAGAGATCTTCCATCCGCTGGTTCATTCCCCAAATGGTTGCAACTGCCAAAGCTGTGCGGATTCGAAGGCAGGGGCCAGGAGCTTCTTCTGAGTCTCCCACACAGGTTCAGGGGCCCAAGGAGTTGGGGCCATCCTCTACTACTTTCCCAGGCCATCGCAGAGAGCTGGATCAGAAGAGAAGCAACTGGGACATGAACCGGTGCCCAGATGAGATGCTGGTGCCACAGGCAGAAGCCACAGTGCAGCCCCTAAAAACCTTTTAAGAGTTAAATTTTCAGATCAGTTTTTGATTTAGAAAAATAGCATCACAATACCACTATTGATTTTTTTATAGTCATTGCTAGGTTTCTTAATAATTAAAATGTTTATATTAGCCATGTGGGAAGAATCTTCTCTTTCCAAAGTTTATAAAATTGCATATAAGTTACATTAATTTTAGAATTTGTGGCATCAATGAAATAAGTTTTATTATTCAGTGATGTAACTTATCTGACTTTGGTTTCTTCATCCATAAGTTACAAAGCTTGAATTTCTTGGTTTCCAAGTCCTTCCTGACTCTCAAAGATGGGCCCTTCTAGACTGAATCCTAGGTCTCCTTTCCCATTGTCCAGTGCTCTTGTTACCCGCACTCCACATGCCTTTGATGAACTTGAATCCCAGCCGGCCCAGGTAAGAGAGCTAGGGGAATGGCTAGTATATGTGACACCATCCTTCTTCCTCAGGCGGGAGAGCTGTCTGTCAAATTGGACCCTTTCATTCGGACTCAGCGGAGAGGCTGGGATGGAGAACTACCTGAGACACAAATCTGGCCCTTGATCAAACATGTGGAAGTGACTCTTCCTAAATCTGAGCTGATTCCAGAAGGTGTCGTATTGGTGGATATTCCAGGCACAGGCGACTTCAACAGCAAGAGGGACGAGATATGGAAAAAGGTGGTTCTCTTTCATAGGCTTCACCCTTTCCAAATCAACGAAGAATGTTGTATGCTTTCAGCTTAAGGAATTTTATGAGTTTGTTAGCATTGAATTCTTCTATTTTGTATGTTCTAAGCCTAAGGGCAATGGCAGGAAATGGCTGGCCAGAGGCACCAAGGAAGGAGGAATCACAGGGTAGTCTTTGTAGCTGGAACAAGAGTATATGATATAAGAGAAAGGCCAGTTGTAGTGTGGTCAAGGAGCAAGGTGAGTAATTAAGTAAGTAATTAAGCGTTATAGGGGGCCATTAGCTAGCAGGAATGGAAACATAAAATAATCCCAACTTAAGAGGGGTTTACTAACAGGACATCAAAGGAGCTTGTAAGATGCAACCAGACCTTAGGACCACCTGTTAGGATTGGATCTCCTGTTCTCTCATTTGCTACCTCATTTCCTGTGACTCTGCTTCTCCTTGTGCGTCAAATCCTGCTTCCCTCTCAACTTTCTTGACTTGGCCATTAAGATAAATATTGTCAAAAATGAATGCCTAGCCTTGTCTCTAAATGGATTCATAAATGATCTTTATATTTTAACTCAAATTCCCAAGAGGCAAAATTTAATGGATTCATGACAAGCTAATGACTTAGGTCTAGGGATTAGGTGTCTATCCTAGTGCAACTAATGGTGGCTGAAGGTGGTGGTTTGGATGAAGGTCCATCCCTTCAGCCAAAGCCTTGGCTAGGGGTTCAGTCCCAGTGAATGGAATGACTAGGTGCCTCCTGGATGTGTGTGCCATCACAGTGTTAAGCATTAGGGGAGTTTGCTCTTACCTGTAATTAGAGGTTGGAGTTTTTAAGAATGTAATCTCTTTGTTCACTGATTTTTCCTTTATCAAACATATACGATGTACTAAGCACTGAGGATGAAAAGCTTATAGCTAATAATAGTGACATTCGCTGACCATTTGCTTTGTGCTGGTTACTTTTCTCAGTAACACTGGGAGTTGTCTTCTCCTAACTTTTACTACTTTAGCCTACATGATAAAACACAATGCAATGGGAAATGAATGAAAAGTTGCAGAGTATGATTTTTATGTTAAGAAGAATGTATAGTCATCCCTCAGTATCCATGGGGGTTGGTTTCAGGATACACACAGGATGCCAGAATCTACAGGATCTCAAGTAACTTATATAAAATGGCATAGTATTTGCATATAACCCACACGCACCCACCCACATACTTTAAATCTTCTCTACATTATTATACTACTTAAAAGTGTGTAAACACTTGTTATACTACATTGTTTGGGGAATAATGACTGTGTATCCATATGTTCAGTAGAGAACAGTTATTTTAAAAAGGTTGGGTCCATGAACACTGAACCTGACAATGAGGAGAGCCAACTGTATGTGTGTGTGTATGAGTGTGAGTGTGTGTATAATGTTTGTGAATACACAGCCAAAAGAAGTCTTTGTCTCCTGGAAGGACACACACCAACTATGCACACCAGTTTCTGAATTTACCATCACTCTACTATATACATGTCTGTCTTGTTTATTTTGCACAAACAACTTTTACAACTCTCATGTGGAAAAATAGAACAATGTTGAATGAGAAGTAATGTCTTCTACAAGGGGCTTAGAGTCTAATTGGAGAATTGAAATGTACAGATGGCTAAATAAATAACAGAAAGTGATGTAGAAGAGATACAAAATGCTATGAGCACCTGGAAGTAGAAATTATCTCCAACAAGATATCCATTCCTTCAACAACCAACCCTAGAGCCCCCACTCAATTTTATAATGGGCTCTGGATGGCCAAAGTCCTTGTCCTTGGGGAGTCTCCTAGTCCACACTGATGAACAAATCATGCCACTTGACAAGGAGAGCACAAAATGATTGGCTTCCCATCTGGAGGGAGCTGGGGCCTCAGGGAGGAAGCTCCACTTCCAACAAGCAAAGAAGGGATTGGGTGTGGAGCCACTGAGCACCATTCTAGGCCAGAGAGCCATGTAACCAAAGACTAGAGGGCTGTGGAAGCTGCATGCTGGGAAAAGCGCCTCTTCCTGAGTACCTGGAGGGAGGGGCTTTGGGTGTATAAAGGAGGGGAGCAACAGAAGTCTGGAAAACTTGGCGATGGGCTTTTGATTTATTTTTCTGGGGGAAACCTGAAGGACAATAAGGACTAGGGCAAGTGACAGAGGAAAAAATGTGGAGGTAGAAGGGGCTCTGGGGCACAGATGGGGACCCAGGAGCACAGTACCTGAGCTGGAAGAGGATGGGGAGGGATGGCCACTATCATGAGTCTGATGAGCAGCCCAGCAGCTGCCAAAGCATTCTGAGTGCCTATGGGCAAGGGGAGCTCTGTGACCGTGGTTTCCTACCACCATTTAGAACAGGATGACTTCCATATTTTATAGATGAAGAAATGGAGACTCAGAGAGGAGTGATTGCTCAAGACCACACAACTAGTGAGCAGCAGGATTTGAAATGGAGAGCAGATTTCCTAATTTCTCCACCAAGGCTCTATCTACCACTCTGACCCTCTGGATATCCCTTTTATCTACTGCCCTTAAGACAAAGGCAAGCCTAGCATCCTTCCTCATGGTTGACCTCAGGCCTGACCAGGTGAGTCTTAGTTTCCCCAGGGTTTCAGACCTTGGAGTGGAGCCGTGCACCTCAGCTAGCTCCAGACCAGACTGAACCATCAGCAGCTCAAGAAGGCAAACAGGCCCTCCTACTAGATGGAGCATGGTTGTAGCTGGTTCAGATACATTGGGCAGCTTATCAAAGCCAGCATACTGGCTCAAAGCACAGCCTAGGAGGAGGTCAGACTGGAGTGTGGAGATGTTCTGCTTGGCCTCGACTCCCCTGCATGCCTGTGGTTTTGTGGTATTCTCTTACAAGACCTTGCTGAAGGCTGCCCTTTTCCCAGAGAGAGCTGAGCACAGTGGCCTTCTCAACAAATCTCCGCCTGCCAGCTTTGCCTTCCCTTAGCTCAAACTCTTAGGAATTCAGACATCTCCAGGTCTATCAGTTAGAAACCACAGACCTTTAGATGTGTCACCCAAGCCTTCCTAGGAGGCCCTTTCTCATCATGGGAGAGTGGGGGCATGATGCCGTTCCATCCAGTCAAGTCCTTCTTGCTTCGTAGATATGCTTCTTTGTGTCCTCCATGACTGTAACTACCAAATCCTAGGCATCAGGGCCTTTGGGTGGGGCCTGAAATTTAACTACCAGAGCGTTTGTGATCGATGTCCTTTGTTCCTGTTGACTGATAGTCATTTGTTAAGCACCTGTAGTTGGTCAGGACCGTGGGAAATACAAAGGTGGAAGAAGCTATTCTGGCCCTGGGATCCCCACCTGGGATCATTAGAACCTTCTGTGGCTGGATGGACAGCAGCTGCCCACTGTTGCCATCATAGAGCCCAGTCTATCCCTCAGTTGAATATAACTTGGGAAGTGGGAGGGCAGTGGCCATGTTTATTCTCCCAGGTAAATGTAAGTCCATCCACACATAGAGGAGAGTTAGGAACCACAGCTGTGCGACCCTTTGCCAGTTCCTTTACCCCTCCTGGCTCGTTTGCTTCTCACAAAATCCAAGGGGTTTGTCTTTAACCCAAGAAAGTGGTGCTTCTAAAGCAATGATGTGCAGAGCCAAAAGTTTTGTGAAAAGAGGGTGCTTGTCCTGAGCAGTGCAAATCCTTCACTCCCAGTTCAACCAGGGCAGTTCTATTTTTACAAAAAGCAAGTTTACAGCTTGGAATTCTTCCTAAGAGCTCACTTGAAAAAGGCTCCACTGCCAAAAACACATTTGTAACCTGCTGCTCTAGGTCAAGTTCTCTCAGCTCTTTCACATTTGGGGTCAGATAATTCTTTGTTGTGGGAGTGGGGAGGCTGTCTTGGGCAAACGGGCTGTAACGACATTTTAATATTAGCAAATATCTTCCTGAGTGCAGTTAATTAAACTCAGTGAAATGAAGCAAAGTAGTGACTGAATTATCAAATCGCAAACGTGCCTGTCCTCTATGTGCAAAGCACTGTTCTGCGGAACCATCAGGGAACTCAATCCCTGAGTTGGAACAGCTTTGCATTATGGAGATAAGACAAGTGAAATGAACCAGTAAGAGCATGCCACAGGGCAACACACGATTACTTGTTCCATGGAACTCATATTCAACAAAGCAATACTTGTGCCATAAATAAATAGTAATTTTACGTTCATTGGCCTTTTGTAACTTGAATCCATAGATGCCTGGCTTCCTGCCACCACTTCATGGCAGTGTGCTGATCATGGCATACAAATATCCAAATGATGTCACAAGGAGATAGCTTTGGAGTAGGTGCCTGGCTACAGCTAGTTCTGGAAGAGCAGTCATTTTCCCTAGAAGACAACTGAGGTAAAAGAAGCCAGGGATGCATGTGAGACTGGGGGATAGCTTTTGCCAATTCTGTCCTTCAAAAAGGCCACAGACACCTAGGAAGCCCCTCCTGTGGGCTACACACTGTGTTGGGGTAATGTGGGTTCCAGGTGAAAGGTACAGACAGCCCCTTCCCATCAGGGGAGTAGAGGGCCAACCATAGCCAGTAACTCTGAGAGTTGCGATGGGCAGTAAGTCCAGGTGTTATGAGATGCAGAGGAGGGGGCAACCAGCCCATCAGAGAATCATCCTCAGCAGAGTCTCGAGGGGCAAACAGGCTAAGCAAAGGCTGTGGCAAGTGCCAAGACCTGGAGAGTTAAAAGAGCAAGGCATGCTTATGAAATTCCAAGTAGCTCAGGCTGACTGGTGCAGAGAGAGCATGGTGCGAGGCAGTGAGCCATGGGACAGGAGAGAGAGGCAGGGTGTACTGATCCACTAGGAAATCATGGCCTCTGGAACCCAGACGTCACTCACATTCTTATACCCCTCGTGGGCATGTCTTGTAGACCATCGATAAATGCTCCGTGATCTGGGTGATCAGCGACATAGAAAGAGTTTCTGGGGGCAGAGCCCACGAAGACCTTCTGAATGAGAGCATCAGAGCCTGCCAGCGGGGCTTCTGTACAGACGTTGCCCTGGTGATCACCAAGACTGACAAACTCCACCTGCCAGAATATCTGAGGTATGGTTCTGGGCTGGCAGGGATGCAGGCCAGCTGGAAGCCTTCTTCCAGGGTCCTGACTTCAGAAATGATAGAGTTTGCATCTGCTGCATTGGGTGGGGATGAAAGAGAGGTCTGGTGATTCCTGGGACACGAAGACACTTGAGAGAGTTGTCTTGTGGACTCTGAATTATGTGGCCCTCCTTCCAGGGGAGCACGCACACAAGATGTAGACCGCACCTGTTGGATTATGATGTGTGATGGTCCCTGTGGCCGCCACACCTGGGAGTCACATTCTGTGGCACTAGCTATAATGGCACAGCTTTTGAAGTACCAGGTTCTACTTCAGATTTGTCTACTCCTGAGATTTTAAATTCTTTTGAAGACATCCTCAAAGGTTTTGAACTTTGGCCAAAAGTAAAAACATTCTCTTTAAGAGTCACATTCTGACCTATGAAAACCCAGTGGAAGCACATAGAGCTTACTGATGTGCAAGGCAGAGTTACAGAGAGGCAGAGAGAAAGAGTCTTCCACCCACTGGGTCACTCTCCAAATGGCCACCACACCTGGAGCTGGGCCGTTCCAAAGCCAGGAGCCAGGAGCTTTTTCTGGGTCTCCCATGAGTGAAGGGGCCCAAGCACTTGGGCCATCTTCTACTGCTTTCCCAGGCCATAGCAGAGAGCTGGATTGGAAGTGGAGCAGCTGGGACTCATATGGCGCCCATATGGGATGCCAGCATTTCAGGTGGCTGCTTTACCTGCTACACCACAGCGACAGCCCCAGAAGGCTGTATTTTATTTTCAATATTGGGACACATTTAAGAGAAAAAAGGGTGTTATTAGTCCTGATGAAGAATCCATGGGTATCAAATGGGCTGTACTGAGTGCAGAGGGCATGCACTGATGGCATGTAACCTTGTCTGTCAATGCCTCTGTGCTAATAGAAGCTTTTCTTTACCTGTTCCCTCCAGTGTTTTCCCTATATCTGTTGGGATGTAAGTCCCACTGTCGTCCCCAGGCATTCTCTTGCTCTCCTGGTCTAGGTTGGAATTTCTCCCACCAGGACCCCCAGAAGTTTTCTCTGTTTCCCCAACACATTTTACCTGGAGCAGGGAGAAAAGTCCCAGTTGCACAGATGAGAAAACACTGGCTTAACATGGAGAATTAAAGCCAATTTTTTTGAAGGGGCTGGCATACTGCTGCAAGTTAAGCCACTGCTTACAACCCTGGCATCCCACATTGGTATGCTAGTTCAAGTCCCAATTGCTCCTTTTCCAATCCTACTAATGTACCTGGGAAAGCAGTGGATAATGGCTCAAGAATTTGGGCCCCTGCGCTCACATGGGAGACCTAGGTCGAGTTCCAAGCTCCTGGCTTTGGCCTGGCTCAGCCCCAGCCATTGAAGCCATGTGGAGGAGTGTAGTAGTGGATAGAGGATCTCTTGATGTGTCTCTCTGTCTGTCTGTCTCTCTCTGTATCTCTCCACCCTTTCACTCTGTGTTTGAAATAAGTAAACACTTTTTTGAATGGACATTGGAGATGGATCAGAAAAGAAAGCATTGAGCCAAAGAAAGAACTTATGCCAAGGCACAGAGGCTTGGCAGGGTATGCTGCTTACGGGGAAGTTGAAAAGACTGCTGTGACACATGACAGAAGTTCAGTAATTGTGACATTTTTCTAATTTCATTTCAGGGAAAGAAAGATGGGAAATGTAAGTATGGAATAGTAATTTTTAAATGATACTTTTATGATCAATAATATATAATCCTAAAGCATGTGTATTCGAATGTATGGGCCAAATGAAAATCTGCCCAAAATGTGCATCTAATTCATCCCAGTTGATACACCCAGATTCTTTACATGCTGTTATTTCTTTTCATAATCTAGCAAACTATTCCAAGTCAGCGAGAGGCTGTTCTAGAAAGAAATGAAATGATAAAACTACAAAGGAATCGAATTCTCAAAGAAAAACTGAAAGTGAGTTAATAAATTTCACTATGTACTTTTCTGCTTCTACGCTGCCAGACTTTGAGAAACAAATGCATATTCGGTCTTGTGTAGTAGTAGCAGGTGGCTAATTTGGACTACCTCAGTCTACTGTTTAATGACTTTGTGAATTTAGGCAGCATTCATGATCTCTCTAATCCTCCACTTAAAATGAGGGCATAGTAGAATGGCATCTGCGATTATCTGAAGGATTGAAAGAGCATGTGCTTTCCTGAGAAATGCAGAATACTTGAAAGTTTGTGGGAAATGGAATGAAAAGATAAGTCTATTGTGTTGCAAAAGAAGATTGAAATCCGTGCAGTTTTTTTTTTTTTTTTTTCCGTAACATGCACTTTCTGTCAACTTTTTCAAGCCCCTCATATGTCCAGGTAAAGCAGAGATCATGATATGGTGTGAGGTATGCTTCAATTCATTTTAAAGAGCCAATAGCCTTTTATTAGGGGAAGAAATAAGGCAGGGGGCATGAGAGGCAGAGGCAATACCAGGATGGAGATAAGCTTCTATGCCTGACCAACCAAACACAGGTAGTTTTGAATGCTGGGCAAACTGGGGATAAGGCCTGAGGTACCTTTTCCAAGCTTGAGTGATCACTCTGTGGCAATTTTGGTGTTTTCTTCCATTATATTTTTACTATTTTGTAGCTAAAATAGTTAATGAAGTCCTTACTAAAATAGTCTTATACAGCCATGAAGCTGAAACCAATTTTAAAACAAAATTTAAGCAAAACAGTATGAGTGATATATGAGGGTAAGTATACTATGAGAGATGATATGGGTTTGTTGACACTAAATCTTCAGTCCTGGTATAAATAGTAGAAATGTTTGGCCTTTGTCCAGTTGTATATTCAATAACTTTCTGCATTTTGACTTCAGTAATGTTGATGTGGAAATTGTCTGTTGTACAACATAGAATCGAACAAATCAAATTTTTATTTCTAACATGGGGTAATCAAGCTTCATACTGAAGCTGAAGTCTTCCACCCAGCAGTTCTTGAATGCTGGTTTTAATGAGGCAATAACCCAGTAAAGCTGGTCTGTTCTCTTGAATTGTTCTGTTGGCATTAAAGAAATATGCATTTTATGAGGACCTAATCATGTTTTTTTCTGGAACTGGAGACATATGCTGCTTCAGTCCACAATTCACAACTGGGTTTCTTGCTAATAAACAGCCAGTTGACTTGCATGAGATAGGGTCTGGGTAGCAACAAAGCAGCAGCTTACAAGGTTACTGAAGTCCCAAGTTACTGCTGTGGCCCAAGCCCTTCTGAGGTCTTCAAACCACACTCAGCTCCAATGGCCAGGTGAGGCCCTCATTCTCCAACCACTTTGTTTCAGTTTGAATCATTGTGAAACTTTCACTGGTGGCACGTGACTTTATTTGGAGCAGATCTAATTTTAATCCTGGCACATAGGAGACAGAAGATTATAAGGTAGTTGTTCATATAGCCGTAAGTCTATATTTTTCTAAATTATAAAAATGAAAATTTGGAAAAAATATTATAAGAATAATTACAGACCCCTGAGAGTGTAGCTCTCAGTGTAGAAGCACTGTGCATTTTGCAAAGATTGTTCTCCTAGCGGAATGGTGCATGGTTGGTGGGAAAAGGGGAGAGTGAAGGCAATGTACAGAGACCGGCTAGATTTTTCCAAGAGGTAGAACTGTGCATGATGAGAATAGATAAGAGGGGATGTGTTCAAGCCGCCTTAGAGAGTTCAAGTCCTCAGCTTTTGGTGACTTGAGATGACTGCTAGATTTCTGGCTTGGGACCACTCAGGGAGTGGTTATGACATTCAGAAAAATAGAGTTTAAGAGCCGAGCAGGGCCTTTGGGAGGTGAAGATGGAAATGCAGGAGCGGAGCGTATTGGGTTTGAGGGCTTGGCAGATGTCCTGTGTTTACTTGGCTTTGTGGGTAGGAACTACAGCCAAAAGGCTGGCTATAGGTAGACTTGGGAGTCCTGGGCTGGAATGGACAACTTCATCCCGACTCTAGTGTTTGGGGCTCCTGGCAGCCTACACAGGCGTCTCTATTGCAGTCTGATCAACATGTGCTTGCGACTTGCCAGATACAGCTTCTCCCCAGTCCCAGCGGACGGCCGGCCTCTCCGCAGTCCACTCTTTCCCATCATTGTCCTGGGAAGAGATCCATCCACTTCCCCCAACTAGCCATGCTCACACATGCACACTCTGATTTTTCTTTCCTTTTAGTGAGAACAAGGAAAGATTATAGAACAATATTTATGTATAATTCTTGTGTGACCTCTCACTGATGATCTTTTGCTAATCATAATAAAAGGTTTCCTCACATAATCCCTAACTCCTTGAGCTTTGAAACTACCATTTGCTGAAATGTTTCTTTACATTGAAACAGGTCTGAGTACTCATTAACCACATAGTTAAGAAAGTTACCTCCATAGGACCTTACCCCAGTGTTGTGGTTGGGTTTGTAAATATTTAACAACCAGCTCTTCTGTCTTAAAAGACAAAGGAGCAATCACACCTCTCCAGCTCTGATTTGTACCCTTTGCCAAGTCCTGTGGTATAAATCCTACCACCATCACCGATTTCAAGCTACCCACATGGTGACTTTCCTGAAGCCAGAGTTGGGAGCTCTAGGGAGCTGCTCCAAGTTGGTTCCATAGACCACAGCCTTTGCCACAGAAGCGCTTCTTTTTCCACAAGGGATCCGGGAATTCTTTCCTCTGAGCATTTAAATACATGCTTGAACGATTTTCTTTATCCACGTCCTTCTGGAATGAGTGAGTGTTTTAACTCCCAAGAGGACAGCTTCTGGCAGCGGCTCCCTCACCCTGTTCAGAGTGAACAGATGGCAGGACCTGACACTTGGAACGTTGTCTGATCCTCACCGGGTTCTGGCAGAGCTGAAAGTAAGTGAGCTGAAATTTGCCAGAGGTTCCTCTGAGGCCTGTGTGTCACTTCTATAAATTTATTGACTCGAATGGTAGAGATACAGAGAGAAAGAAAGAGACCTTCCATCCACTGGTTCAGTCCCAGAATGGCTTCAATGGCTGTGGGTTGGGCCCGGCCAAAGCCAGGCGCCTGGAACTGCATCCGGGTCTCCCACGGGCACTTGGGCCATCTTCTGCCGCCTCCCACAGGCATTAGCAGGGGATGAGAAGCAGAGCAGCCAGGACTCGGACTGACGCTCGATGCTGGTGTGAACCTGCTGCTCAACAGCACTGGCCCCTGTGCATGGCCTCTTCTGCTGTGACTGAGTTATTCTGATCCCTGCATGCCTTTCTCACTTCAGAGAAAACTGCCAGCAGACTCCAGGGTTCTTCAAGCCTCAGATCTGGTGTACACGGTCAGCGCGCAGGAGTACTGGCAAGGGGCTTTCCTCACCGAGGAAGAAACTGGTAATTTGTACATTTTTAATCCTGATCACTAAAGCTCTCAACATTGACCTTGGCTGTCTGAATTCCAGGCTCTAGAACTTTCTTGTGGCATACAAATTGTGGGGCCACGATTTCACTGTTCCCCAAATCTTACCCAGGTTTTATACCTACTTCTCTCTCTGCATTGCTGTGCTACCTGAAACCACAATTGTACCCCTCCAGATCTTAGCATGGGTTGGTAAAGATCAAGGGCTCCAAATTGTTTTTTTCTTGATATTTGGCTTGAGATTCCTCATGCATCCAGCAGCTATTATCAGAAATATTTTCTGAGAGTCTATTGTATGGCTTGTGTGTAAGAGTGATAAAGTAGAAGGCATGGTCCCTTTCTTCAGAGAACTTAGCCTGTGGTAATGCCAAGTGCAAAAATTAAAGCAAAAAGAAAGGTTAGTTAAATGGTGCTGACTGAGAGTCCAAGAGGTCAGAACATTTAGAGGTGGGTGGACTTGAGGGCTCTGTGAAAGCTAGGTGAGCAGGAAGGATCAGAGCCAGTCTTTATTCTGAATTTAAAATAACCAAGAGATGCATGCGTTTTACTAGACACATACTTATTCCACTGAAAGTTAAGGAGCAGAAGGCCTGATACATTTGAAGAAAATGAGGGAGTAGCTCGAACAAGGGTATAAAAGACAAATGCAGCATGGCACATGAAGAGAACGCTGTAGAAAAATTGTCGTGCACAGGAATGAGGGGAAAGTAGGATGGCATCTGTTATCCTCTGACTGACAATGGGTTAGGATGAGGGCACGTTTCTGATCTAGACTCCCGCATGTAGGAGGTGCTTGTTCCTTTCTACAGCAAACATGGACTAGACTGATGTTAACATGTATTTAATACAGACAGAGAAATCCAGCAAGACCAAGGAGCTAAGACTGTAGGAATGGGAGCACCCTGGGTCCAAAACAAAGTGTCCATTTTTAAAAACCATGCTGGCCTTTGCTATGTAGTTTGTTTTATACAACTAAATAAAATTCATACTCAGCATTGTTGATCTGCTGGTCATTATTGCTGATCCAGGCATGAAAAATAATTCTTCTAGAGAGGTTGGTTTAGGGGGCAACCGGCCCTCGTGGGACCTCGACTGCACTGTTCATTGATCATTCAACTTTTATGAATTCTGTTGACTATGAACTCCTGGCCTCTTAACATTGTCCGTGCGGCCTGTGAATTCCAGAAATCCCCAAGTTAAGAGAATACATCCGGAAAAGGCTCCTGGACAAGAAGAGGAGGCTGGTGACCAAGTACGTTACTGAAGCCTTTGGCCTGTTGCTCCTCATAGACAGCCTCAGCTCCACAGAACGCCTGCTGGTAGGGAGGACTCCTGGATGTGGGTTCTCTCCCTGTGCCCCACTGGGGGACCCTGGATGTGGGTTCTCTCCCTGTGCCCCACTGGGGGACCCTGGATGTGGGTTCTCTCCCTGTGCCTCGCTGGGGGACCCTGGATGTGGGTTCTCTCCCTGTGCCCTGCTGGGGGACCCTGGATGTGGGTTCTCTCCCTGTGCCTCGCTGGGGGACCCTGGATGTGGGTTCTCTCCCTGTGCACTGCTGGGGGCCCTGGATGTGTGTTCTCTCCCTGTGCCCTGCTGGGGGCCCTGGATGTGGGTTCTCTCCCTGTGCCTCGCTGGGGGACCCTGGATGTGGGTTCTCTCCCTGTGCCCTGCTGGGGGACCCTGGATGTGGGTTCTCTCCCTGTGCACTGCTGGGGGCCCTGGATGTGGGTTCTCTCCCTGTGCACTGCTGGGGGCCCTGGATGTGGGTTCTCTCCCTGTGCCCCGCTGGGGGACCCTGGATGTGGGTTCTCTCCCTGTGCCTCACTGGGGGACCCTGGACGTGGGTTCTCTCCCTTCCTCCTGGACAGAATATTTTCTTATATGAAGTTAAAAAATTGACTTCTGAGATTTTTTTTCTTTTTATATCAAAGAACAGTACAAAGCTGAGACAGTCCAAGAGGACCAAAAAGGTATTAAAAAGGTTAAAGTCATAACATTTGGGTTCAAGAGAAAGGAATACTATTTTACCTGGATGGATGATCTGTAAGGAAAATATATAATAACCACTTCCCTCTCTGCTGAGACTCAAACAACATTGAATGTGTCTAAAGGAGTGATTGGGTTTCCTTTTTAATAGAACTCAGACAATTCTTGCTTACCTTGAAGAGGGATTTTGACACCTACAAAAAAATTTTATCTGTCTCTAGATTTCCTTGATGACCTGGTGCTGTCAGAATCTCAAACTCAGAGCAGCAGCATAGTAAAATCATGGAAGAAGGGAACTGGGAGCTTAGATCTTTACACTGTTTAGATCACAGTGAAAAATCACTTTTCTCAGAGCAATGAACAAATATCTCTTTGAGGATGACTTTTTAACCTTTATATAAGAAATGTAAACTGCTAGATCAGAGGTCTGGGGGCTTAGAAGGAAAATCTGAAGCTGCCGCCAATTGCCTCCCGCTCAGTTTTATTTTTAAGACACAAAAGATACAAACAGATGTGATCAGACCCTATATACAAATAGAATTATGTCCACAGCCCAGCAAGCAACCCAGGAAACCAAGCCCTTATCTGTGATCAACAGCCCAATATGCCAACTCTTGTTGGAGACTGGATTGCTGTGCCTAGCAACACTCCAGGAAGCTTAAGAATAATTCTGTAACAATCAATAACTTCCGTAACTCTTGTCTGCTTCCAACAATTCTATAACAATTACTAACTTCCCTAACTCTTGTCTATGCTTCCAACTAGCCAGAGAGAGCCAAATATGTTCCCCTAGCCAGTCATATGGGATACCCTGCTTACAGTTCACCTGCCTTCAGCGCCCCGTGCCAACAGTTTCCAATCAGGGCCCACTTGAAGCCTCCCCTTTTCTGCCCTCTAAAGCTTTGCCACTCTTCTGCTTGCCTTTTGACTTTCTGCCCAATTCAAGCAAGCTCTGGATAAATACCCTGAGCTTTTCTCACTTGGTGCATTCTGATTGTTTCCTCACTCGTCATCACTCATCAGATTTATGCAAATTACCTGATTTCTAACTATGCCATAACAGGAAAGGCTAGAGAAATGTCAGCAGTAGCCTCCGTGAGAGTTCAAGGGACTGTTTCTAGAATGAGGGGTGAGCCTGGGTGACAGCAAGGAGAGACAGCCGCTGCAGACTGGACTTCCATGTCAAAGCAAGAAATGCCACCTGGGAAAACTTTACGGTTTGGGCCAAATACCTATGTATAAAAGTGACACATAGAAAAAAATTCACTCTTTTTCATCCTATTTCTAATACGCTGCTTTGATCTAGTTATATGTGCTGAAAACAAACAAAACCCCTGGAATCAGAGTTTTCTAAATCAGCTCTTACCTCTGAAATAGCTGGGGAAAGGTTTGACCTTTTAACTTCCTGAAAAAGTTCTTCAGGGCGAAGTTTGCCTCTCTGCCCAGTGCGAGATTGCTTTTGGAAGTGCTGATGGAAAACCAATCAGATGCGATGCTCTGTGTGGTTGGTTTATTTTACAAACACAAGGACCAGGCATTATGCAATGGAGGTCGGAAGTGCCTGCCCCATGTGCACTTCTTTCCCAGCACAGAGGCAACCTGAGTAAGGGCTCACTTTCATTTTTAGCCAGACTGGGCCTTAGAAGACAGGGGAGGGGGTGTGTGGGAGTGTTGGTTGACATTTCTGAGATTGCCTTCTAAAGGGGCTGCCCACAGCTTTCCCCAAAATCCTTTGGCCTGAGCTATTGGTCTTAGTTCTTTGATGAAAAATTGGAAGGCAAGCGTTTTGTCATCAGTCCCTTGGAATTCTGAAAAATCAAACCGAACGCTGCATGTGATTGATCATTTTTTAAAGACTGTAACTGAAGCCCACAGTTCCCAATTGGAGAAGTTAGTGGTTTTGAATGAGCTCTTGTTATTTTCAAGAATCAATAGGAAGTGGATTATGACAGCTCCATGTCGAGTGTGTCCTGCATTTATTCATACTGTGCTTCAGCTTCTCCCTTCTGTATTGGGCTTTTGTTCCTGGTTCTTCCCTTTCTTCTTATTCTTGTGTTTCTTCAGCCAGGGTTCATGGGAGTGGGGCATTGTGAGAATCTCGCCTGTAGGTTTTCTTGCCATGACTTCTTTTTCTAATTTCATTTTGCCCACCCTCCATGTCACCATGCATTCAAAAGAATCTCAAGAGCACTCTGGGGGAAAACACTCAGTGATGAAAACTAGGAAAATGCCCCGCATGGCCTGTGAAGTTAAGGAGTCTCCCCAAACTCAAAAACCCATCAACTCTAAGAGCCGTGGTGCTTTAGGGTTTGAGGTTGTTTTTGAGATTGGCCAGCACAATTTACTTGCTTTGAAAGGTGGTGCAGTTGAGAACCGGAGAAGTTAAGCCACCTGTGTGAGGTCACACATTGTTTGAAGACCTAGTTCTCTCAGTTTGGATGGGAAGTTATAAACCTGTATCATCTAGCAGTTTCTCTGTGCCACTCATTCACTCCATTGGGCCACATCCTGGCATAAACAAACATGAGTAACAGTCTGTCCCTTTAGCACGCTCCTGGGCCAGGAGAGGAAACATACGGAGTGAGAGAGCCATCACATAGCAGGAGGAATGCAGTAACACAGAAGTGCACAAAGTGGGATAGGAGCCCAGCAGAGAGCCCGAACTGTGCCCAGGGAGTCAGGGAAAACGTCATATGGGAAGTGAGTTTTGAGCTTTGTCTTGAAGGGTGAGAAGGTGGGAGGGAACAGCATGTGCGAAGGCACAGAGGTCACAGATGGGACATCACATTTAGGAAATGGTGGCGAGTTCAGGAGCAGTTATCTAGCAGGGTGTGTCAAACAGAGACAGGGGTGCTAGAGAGGTCGGTGAGTCTTGGCCATGAAGGGCCGCAAGTGGCAGGCGAGGAAGTATGGTCTCCATCTGCTGCAGGCGCTGTGGAGGCTGCCAACGTTCCCACACAGAATAACACTAGGAGTTAGTTCCAAGTTTCCAACCTAGAGGTCAAGTGTGTCCTGATGGCCACTCTCATGTATTACTTGAATACAATCATGCATCACAAATGCCAGGGATGCGTTCTGAGAAATGTGCTGCAGCCCATTTAGTTGTTGTGTGAACATCATAGAGTGTGCTTACATAAGCCCAGATGGTATAGCCTACTAAACACTTAGGCTGTATTACAATCTTATGGGAAAACTGTCACGTATGCGATCTGTCATTGATGGAAACATTGTTATGTGAAGCATGACTGTATTTTTCTTGGAAAAAGTGACCACTGCTTTATTTTTGTGTTCGTGAGCCTTGCTGTTTAAAGTGTTGTTCAGGGCCCAAGAGGCCCTGGGGGCATCACCTGGGGGCTGGACAGAGATGCAGAATCCCAAGCTCTCAGGTTTTAACAAGGTCTCCCGGTGATTTGTATGTGCATTAACATTTGAGAAACACCATTCTCCAAAATTGCTTTCTGCAAAATTGAAGCTCATTAAATATTTGTCACATTGGCTGTTATTAGAAAAATCTGTTTTAGTAACGACTGCATTTTTATGTGGATGGTTACTTCCCCCAAACAGCTTTATGGATTTTACACCGGAAATAAGTTGCAGATGACAGATATGTGTTCTGTTGGCCAGTCCCACGAAGCCTCAAGGGGTCTGGGCACTGAGGGATGCCTTCCTTATGGGGACAGTAAGGGGGAGTCAACTCTGGGTGTTAAGCTCAAGCTCAACCTTCTACTGGTGACAAAAGAAGCGGGGGGGGGGGTGACCTCACGCTCCCCGTGTCCTCATTCTGTCCCTAGAATGAACACTTGCACATGAGTGGCCTGCGGAGATTTGTGGAAGAGAAGATGGAGTTGCTGGAGAAGGCCATCGAGCAGTGCTTTGCCCACATGGAGCAGCCTCTGCGAGAAGGCGTCAGGATAGCCAGGGCTTCGTGCCGGCACATCCTGGGGGCCTTCCTCGTGGTGAGTGACCTCTCCGGAGAACCCTTGTGCTATCCCTCGAGATCCACTTGATCCACAAGCTCCCTTTTCATTCTCCATTGCTCTTACAAGAAATAGAGAGTAGGAAAGAAGGAAGAGTTCATGTAGAAAAGCACAGGTAGGGTACTGTTCACCTGTGTGTTGCAGGGACCAAGGAAAGTAGGTAGTTCAGCTGACGCGGAGTTGGAATTTAGGATCGGAGGGCCTTGGCTTTGAGAGCCAGCTCTGCCAGACATCCACTTGCAGAGCCCTGGAGGAGAGTCCCAACCCATGGAAGGCCCTAGACTCTCCTCAAACACTCCTGACGATCCCTTCTGTAAAACGAGGATGCTCAGTGCTTGCCCTCCCTATCTTGTGACATTCTCGGCAGTATTGAGTGGACTGCAGAATAAGAAAACATCTTGTAACCACACACTTGGCACGCAATTTCTTAATGAGTTGAGTGGAGGTTCTGAGGGATGAAATTATAAATGCAAAGCAGTATTTATCAAAGATCAAGGGATAGGAAGAGCAGCCCGTTGTATTCATTTGCTTGGATTGCCACAACAAAACGCCAGAGACCGTGTGGCTTACACAACTGAAGTTATTTTCTCATTGTTCTGGAGGTTGGAAGTCCAAGTCCAAGATCGAGGTGTCAGCAACTACTTCATTCTGAGACTGCCCTGCTTGACTTGCAGGTGGCCAACTTCTTACTCTGCCCTCATGGTCTTTGCTCTGAGCAAGTATACTCCTGGTATCTCGCTTCACCCATAGGGACATCAGTATTGTTGGATTAGGACCCCACTCTATGTCCTTATTTAACCTTAATTACCTCCGTAAAAACCTGCTCAAATTCAATCACAGTGGAAGGTAGGGCTTTTGGTGGGGTGGGGGTGGGGGTGGGGACAATTCAGTCCATAGTGCCCAGTATGAGTAAGGGATGATAGACAAACTGCGTGTGTGCCGAGGCTCAGGCCCTAGTGCTGGGAATGCCATGCAGATAGTGTGCTGTTGTGGTTGTTTTTTTATGTGGCTGTTTTTAATATGAGTTGCAAAGCTGGACGCAGCAGAGGAAAATGTGTGACAAGGTTAGGTGTAAACGAATTCTTAGATTTCTGTAGGCATTTCCAACCCATGTTTTTGGTTTTTTTTTTTTTTTTAAGTACGCAGCCTCTTCTAGATGTTATTGTTGTGTTTGTTGTAAAAGTATCTAGATTCACAGATATGCATGTGGCAGTTAGGGTGACAGGGAAGTGGGAGATACCTCTGGTATAAAGCGTGGAGAACTGGAAGCTGAAAGTGTGAATAAGCCAGTATGATGCTGGGACCACTGGGGCAGGCTGTTGATGCTGGGGCACAGATGAATGGGAGCTACGGTGATCCCACATGGTGGGGCAGATGGCTGAATATCCATGTGTGTAGTTTGCAGGCTTGCATGCCTGTGTTCAACAAACACGTGTGACATACTTACGCGAGTACCAGATATTTTATAGTGTCTTAGCCAATACTCACAATAATTCTTTGTGGAAAGCACTCTTATTTTATGGGAAAAATGTCAGCCTTAGAGAGCCTTAGAGAGGTGGCATAACTTTTACACAGTGACACATGGACTCCACCTCTAACTTGGACCTATCTTTTACCTTAGAACCTGAAACATCCAACTCCTAGACTTGTCTGCTGTGTCTCCTACACTGTGCTCTGCACACTATCACAGCTACTTGTAATTGCCCTCAAGTTGTCTGGTTGACATTTGTACGTCCCCAGGGAAGTAAATTTTGGTGCATTCCTCCATGTAACAAGGACTCCTGAATAGAAGGCATGGGTGCTAAGAGGTGGTGTGGACCCACACGGGTCCCCATCTGCCTGTTCTGTGACTGTGGACAAGTCATCTAACCTCTCTGTGCCTCCCTTCCCTCCTCTGCAAAGTGAGGACCATCGTACGCTGGTATAGAGTTGTTAAAGTAATGCGTGTAAGGCCGCTCTCGTGGGTGTGAGTGGAGCTGTCAGTGGAAAGAGAGTGTTCAATAAGTCAACTGTTACTACTCTTAGGCTGGGGAACTGAGAGATGATCCAAATAGAGTCTCTGCACAGAGGAGTTGCAGAACCACGCAGAGAACTGTAATAAAAGGTAGGATGTTGTCGGAGACCACCGGAGAGCCATGAAGTTCTCCAACTGTGCAGAGGAGCGAGGCTGCTCTGGTGGGGTGGTGGCAAGTTGGAATCTTTTGGCTGCAAGTCAAAGTCTCTAACTCAAGTCAGCCAAAACCATAAGGAAGCGTGTCAGCCCATATGACCGAAGAACCAGAGGAAGAGGGGGCCGGGGTGAGGGAAACCGAAGCTGGGGGCCTGGGCTCTGCTCCTCTGCTGTCCCTTGTTCTTCTCCATGTGTGGGCCTTGTTGCCGTGATGGCAAAAGGGCCAGTGCTGTTGTGGGATTCACATCTGTACACCATAAGCTCTGGAGCAACATTTGTCAAGCTCAGCATTACTGACATTTTGGACTGGATCTTTCTTTGTCGTGAGGGGCTGTGCTGTGAGATGTAGGATTTTCAATATTCCCTGACTTTTACTGTCTAGATCCTGATGGTCTCCTCCACTCTTCCGCAGACAGAGAATCGCTCCAAGCCGAGAACCACTGGTCTGGAATGGGGGGAGAGGGAGGGTCATCCTTGACTCTTTCCCGTAAGAGTGAAAACACTTCTTCATAGACATTCTTCTGTTTTGTTGGCTCCGACTGGGTCACTTGCCTATTTCTAAACCATCCCTGCCGAATAGCTTAGGTCTGTGTTACATACCCCATCCCAGTGTCTGGGATCGAGTTGATTCCCTGTAGAACAGGGGTAGGTGGGGGACAGCTGAAACTACTAGCAGGAGGGAAAATGGATGACACAAAGGAATGCCAGGGAATGTTGGGGGACAATCCTCTAGAGAGGGTGATCCTGGAGCCCATCCTCGGAAGATCAGAGGTGCTTCCATGTGCTGAGGAGTGGAGGGGAAGGCTAAGCGTTCTGAGTAAGGAAGGGTAAAACACATCTGGGAGCTCATGCATGAACTTTTCCAACTGTCACTTGAATTTTTTTTATTTCTCAGTAAGAAAACCAAGCCAGGAAAGTTTGTTAATGAGGAAATAATCGGGTGATCCTGAGAGTGTGAGAAGAAATTATGATGAGGGAAAGGCCACTGGGTCCGACCGCTGAGAGTGTTCATGGGTGACTGTGGTCAGCAGCCTCCCAGGTGGTCCTTGAGCATCCTCACCCACGGTGTTCTCTCCTGGTGGAGTTCCCTCCCTCACGGGCTCGGGCTGAGCTCTGTGACCAGGAGAAGGCTGCAGGGGTGAAAGATGTGGCATCTGTGGCATCAAGGGCCCCTGAGGCCTCCGTGGTGGCACTTGGACCACTAACTCAGGGGGAGGTCAGCTTGTGTGTGTGGGAATCAAGACACTGTGGAGGCCGGTGCTGTGTCATAGTGGGCTAAGCCTCTGCCTGTGGCACGGGCATCCCATACGGGTACCGGTTCATGTCCCGGCTATTCCTCTTTCAACCCAACTCTGCTGTTGGCCTGGGAAATCAGTAGAAGATGGCCTAAGTCCTTGGGCCCCTGCACCCATGTGGGGTACCTGGAAGAAGCTCCTGGCTCCTGGTTTTGGATCGGTCCAGCTCTGGCTGTTGGGGCAATTTGGGGAGTGAACCAGCAGATAGAGGATCTCTCTCTCTCTCTGTCACTCCCTCTCTCTGCTGTAACTCTACTTCTTAAATAAATAAACAAACCTTTTAAAAAAATAGAAACTGTGTGGAGAAGCCCATATGGAGAGGAGCAAAGGCCTGCCCCCTACTCCACCCCACTCCCCCATCCTGGGGCCAGTAGCCAGTATCAACTTGCCAGCTGTGTTTTTGGAAGCAAATCCTCTAGCCGCATTCAGATGACTGTAACTCAGCCATGCCCAGCTGAACCTGGTCAGAAGCCCTGAGCCAGAGTGCCTGGCCACACCATCCCCAAGTCCTGATCACAGAGGGACTAGGGAGGGGATGAAGAGGAGAGAAAGGCATACACACACACACACACACACACACACACACACATACACACACAGAGAGAGAGAGAGAGGAATTAGAGAAAGAGAATCACTGCTTGCTTTAAGCCTCTCTACTTGTATGATTGGGGAAATCTGTTTCATAGCAATGGACAACTAAGTGACTCTGGAGAGAACTATTTCTCTATGACGCTGGAGAACCCAGGTCACAAAAGGTGAATGAGTGGTATGAAAGGATGAAAACACAAACCACTCCTCTGAGCCAGGCTGCTAGGGAACAGAAGGAACCACAGAAGCTATCTTTTTTTAAAGATTTATTTATTTATTTATTTAAAAGGCAGACTTACAGAGAGACAGAGAGAGGAAGAGAGAGTATGTTTTTTTATCTGGTGGTTCACTCTCCACATGGCTGCAATGGCTAGGGCTGGACCAGACTGAAGCCAGAAGCCAGGAGCTTCTTCCAGGCCTCTCATGTGGGTGCAGTACCCTGGGCACTTGGGCCATCTTCTGCTGCCTTTCCAGGCCATAGCAGAGAGCTGGATTGGAAGTGGAACAGCTGGCATACGAACTGGCACCCATACAGGATGCCAGCACCGCAGGCATAGGCTTAACACACTGTACCACATTGCCAGTCCCATGTGAACCATCTTCAAGACTTCATTCACCCTGTAATGACTTGCTTCCCCGTAACTACAAATGTGCAAGGCGTTCCTATCCACAAAGTAATGCTCCTTTAGTTTTTTTTTAAGTTTTGTTTCTTTACTTAAAAAAAACAACAAAGAAGCAGACAGAGATAGACAGGTACATACATACATACATACATGGAGATTGATCTTCCATCTGCTGATTCACTTCCCAACTGGCCAAAATAACCAGGTCTGAGCCAAGCTGAAGACCAGGCCAGAAACTCCATCTTGGTCTCCCCACATGGGTGCCAAGAGCACAAATACTTGGGCTATCTTCCATTGCTTTGCCAGGTACATTAACAGGGAGCTGGATCTGAAGCAGAGCAATCAGGGCTTGAACCAGGACTCACATGGTATATCACTGTCCCAAGTGGCAGCTTGACCTGCTATGCCACAGCATCAGCCCCCACAAGATTCCTTTGTGATCAGAAATTGGATCAAACATTGAATCACAACATTATGTAACATAGTAAAATGTATATAAAAAAAAAGAAGCTGGCATTGTGGTGTAGTAGGTTAAATTACCACCTGTAATTCCAGCATCCTGTATGAGCATTGGGTCAACTCCAAGCTGCTCCACTTCAGCTCCAGCTCCCTGCTAAAGTGCCTGGGAAGGCAGTTGAAGATGACCCAAGTACTTGGGCCCCTGCCACCTACAGGAGAGACCTGGATGAAGTTCCTGGCTCCTGACTTTGGCCTGGCCTAGCCCCTGCTGTTGCAGCCATTTGGGAGAGTAAACCAGTGGATGCAAGATCTCTCTTGTGTCTCTCCCTTTCTTTCTAACTCTGCCTTTCAAATAAATAAATAAATAAATCTTTAAAAAAAAACCAAAAGAATAGAAAGATGAATTATTCAGAATCCAAGTGATGTTGTATTATGTTTAAAATGATTTTTAGAATGTATTTAGAGTGATTTGGGGATACTCTCATGGTGTAATATTAAGTGAAAAAGGCAGAATATATTCATTTAGTATTATGCCCATTATATCATGATATATAGGCATTAAATTAAAACATATTCCCTTAGAACATGCCATTGGCTATAGATCATGAAATCTGCTACTGAAATTCTGGTCAGTGTCTATATATATATATATATATATATATATATATATATATATTTGACAGGCAGAGTGGACAGTGAGAGAGAGAGACAGAGAGAAAGGTCTTCCTTTTGCCGTTGGTTCACCCTCCAATGGCCGCCGTGGCCGGCACGCTGCGGCCGGCTGGCGCACCGCGCTGATCCGAAGGCAGGAGCCAGGTGCTTCTCCTGGTCTCCCATGGGGTGCAGGGCCCAAGCACTTGGGCCATCCTCCACTGCACTCCCGGGCCATAGCAGAGAGCTGGCCTGGAAGAGGGGCAACTGGGACAGAATCCGGCGCCCTGACCGGGACTAGAACCCGGGGTGCCGGCGCCACTAGGTGGAGGATTAGCCTATTGAGCCGTGGCGCTGGCCAGTGTCAATGTAATTTTATTCTCTTCACTAAGATAACCACTTAGCTAAAGTTGATTGTCTCTTATACCTCTCCCTTTATGTTTTCCTCTGATTTTGAATTTATGTCCCTAGGAAAAACTATCACCAAGATATAAAAACCAAAATGCATTCCATTCAATTTTTAGCAAAAAAGGGACCAGTATTGTGGCGTAGCAGATTAGGCATCTCATATGGGTGCTGGTTTGGGTCCTAGCTGCTCCACTTCCGATCCAGCTCCCTACTAATGCACCTGGGAAAACTGCAGAGGATGACCCAAGTGCTTGGGCCCCTGTTAACCGCATGGGAGACCTGGATGAAGTTCCTGGCTTTGGCCTGGCCCAGCCCTGGCTGTTGCAACCATTTGGGGAGTGAACCAGCAGTTGGAAGATCTCTCTCTCTCTCTCTTGCTCTCATTCTCTCTCACCCTCTGTCTCTATAACTCTGCATTTCACATAAATAAAATAAATCTTAAAATAATAGCAAAAATGTGAAATTTGAACTATCCTTAGAGAACTTAAGACATTTACATATTGTAGGGCTATAGCAGATACTACTCATTCATTCATTTCGTAACTTCTCATTTAGCAAATATCTATGATGGATTACATAAGTCTGCCAGATGTTGAGAGCATAAAAATGGAAGTGCTGTTGTACCTGATCTCAATGAGCTGGTGGTCTTGTGTCAGCAGCTGACCCATGAACAAATACAAAATGGTATGAGAAGGGTTGTGATCTGCGTGGGCCCGGGGTACTCTGGAAACCCAGGGCAAAGGGCACCCAGCCTGCCTATAGGCATGACTCCAGGCTTCCCTCTCCGGCTTACTCATGTATTTAAAGATCATTTTGTCTCTTCTCTTTCCTGTGATTCTTGGTAGTGGCCTTTGGCCAAAGACAATGTAATTCTGATCCTATGACCTTCTAGTTAATGCCTGCTAACTCTGCTAATTTACTGTTTGCTTATCTAGAGGAGTAAAGGAAACCAAGGTTTTCACCAGACTCTGAAAGCCGTTTGCTTGAAGAATGGCATCTATGCCTCGCGGACCCTGCCAAGGATTGACCTGAACGAAGCCATCACGCAGCCTCTCTATGACCAGATCGACCCTGTGTTTGGAGGCATTTTCAGGTAAAGGGTCTTGCATCTCGATGCTTTGTAAATGCACATCTGGTGCGCTGAGCCAGAGTCTCCGCTGTAAGAATTTATGCTTTGGATCTGGAAGTGTAAAGAGTAGCTGTAACCTGAGCGGGGAGGCCGAGACCCTGGCAAAACACAAAAGCCTTTTTTTGGTTTGGTTTCCTTAAAAATTTCCCGTGGTGACCTGGAGTACACATTGAGATGTTACTTTCAGACTGATATTATGATTCCCGTTATTTTTCAAATGTCTCCTATACACAGCAGAGGATAAATTTTCTTAGAGATCTGTGCCCAGGACAGGGTATTTTGATTGGAGAGTGTGGGATTAAGCAAACATGGCCATGGCCTTTAGAACTTTCCCCTGAATGCAGAAAGCAAAAATGGCCCTAGGACTGTTTCTGACATACAGCATCCTCACAACCACGGCATTGGGCTATGGTGGGGGGCGGGGCATGGAGAAGCAGGCACCCGTCTTGGTACCCCTTCCCTCCCTCCTTCCCTGACCTTCAGTTCTTCCCTCCATCAACAGAAACCAAATCTCCCTGTCCCCACACGCATCTGCTTGGTCCCGGTCTCCCTCCTCCTCCCCTGCTCCTTCGTTTCTGCTGCAGCCATTCTCCCACCTTTATTGCCTTTATTAAGTACCCTCAGCGGCCCCCTTTGCTTCCCCTAATTTAATTAATTTATTTTTATTTTAAAATTTCTTTGAGAGGGAGAGGGAGACAGAGAGCGGTCTTTCTTCTATCTACTGGTTCACTCCCCAAATACTGACAACAGCCAGGGCTGGCCAAGGTGAAGCCAGGAATCTAGAATTCCATCTGAGTCTCTCAGATGGGTGGCAGGGGCCCAGGTACTTGAGCCATCACTGCTGCCCCGGGGTGGACATTAGCAGGAAGGTGGAATCAGGAGCAGGGTGAGGGTGCAAACCTAGGCACTCGGATATGGGATGCAGGCATCCTAAGCAGTGACCTAACAGCTTGGCCAAATGCTAACTCACCACCCCCTTTGTTTAAGTGCTTCTTAGATCATGCCATTCCATCTCTATTCACCCACCTCTGTTTATGAGTCTGTAAAATAAACTCCAAGTTTCCTAGAATGGTGTACATAACATTCCACCTGCCTCCAACTTGCCTTCCAACATTTCCTGCACTGTTGCCTGGTTTCAGCCTGTGGCAGTAGCCAAGGTGGCAGGGAGTAAAAAGCAACCGAGATGTCTCGGGTTCTGGGATAGGCATTTGCTTGCATGATCTCATCAAGTGGTCCCAATAGCCCTACCAAGTGGCACCTGTCTTTTTACAGATGAACAAATGGAGACTGAGAGCTGTGTGACTTTCTCAGGGTAACCCCACCCATGAGTACTGTGCTAGGGCTTAAAATCCATGGCCTTTAAATCTTGGCTCTATAGCCTGCTGCTGCTTGCTCCTGGGGTCTTCTGCAACTTCATTCACAGTGTCACTGCATGGGGAATAATCCCTCCATCCTTCACATCCCCAACCCTTTCTCGTCTTCTCGGGTCTAGTTCAAGTCCTACCCTTTCAAGTAGAAACACTTTGGCAGTGGAAAGACTATGGATTCTGAGGTTAAAACTTTCTTCAAAGCCTGGCTTTCTCACATACTGGCTGCACGACCTTGACCACATCAGCAATCTTCTCCGACCTCAAGTTTTCCATCTGTAAAAAGGGCATCATCAACACACTGACTTCCTAAGCTTTTATGTCCAGGGCCTGGCACAGCAAATGCGTGGTGTATTATAGGAATTTGATGACTCTAAGATGTTATTCTCCTTCTCTTATAAATGAATGCAAAGACACTGGCTAGTTTTATGTCCATTTTAGCCCTGTAGTAGCCACCATTATCTCTCAACCTTTTGCGTTGCTTTCTTCCGTAGAGCTGGGACGCCCAGCGGCTCGGCTCTGCTGCCTCACATCGATGCTTTTAAGTGCTCCCTGCAGCAGAAAATGATGGAAATCAGCATAAGAAACGGCTGGAAATATGATCGCTGCAAAAACAGTTTCCTGATCCAGGAGGTCGGTTTCTTTTAAAGGAAGGAAGGCAGTGGGGTTGGGTAGTGGCTTCCTTCCCAGGCAGGTTTGGAGGCTGCCTGTCCCTCCCTGCTTGTGCCCCCGGAGCGTCCGGGGTCTGCATGTTCCCCATAGGAGGTGCGGTGGAAAACGCTCCATCACAGGACGCGGGTGCAGACTGCCAGGGGACGGAGGACCCCCAGGCCAGCTCTGTGAGGCAGCAGCCGCAGTCATCTCAGTCCCCAGCAAGTCTTCAAAGTCTCCTTAGATGTAGGAGAACGTGCATCGCTCGACACCTTCTCACCAATCTTGCTGTCACTTTGCCAATTGTGTGAAGTAGTCTGGTGAGCCATGAAGCTTAGAGAAGCAGGTTGCTTTCAGGTTCTTATCTGTGAGTCTCTGTCTTCCAGGGCCAGCCCGAAGCACAAGGCAAGACTAGAGAAATAGTTCATGCCTGCTCCTGGCCCCTGACGTGGCTCATTCCACACCCTCCCCTACGCCCGAGTTCAACTCAGCACATATTTGTTGGGCAGTGGGGAGATGCCAGGTCCCGCGGAAGCTCTTGGGGTATACAATTGCTTAAGATGCCCGTGAGAAGCTCACGGCCTGGGTGTTTTGATGACGTATTAGTAGCCAACCATGATATAAGGCAGGGGACATGGTGACCACACACGGGGATGCGTGACTGCTTCTGTTGGAAGATTGTCACTGACGGCCTTCTGTTCACACGGCTTCTCAGATCAGTGCCATGCTGGGCGGCCTGGAGGGCCACATCTTCAGAAGGAAAAGGAAGCTCTATGAGTCTCTCACCACCTCTGTTCAGAACGACCTGAAGCCCTGTTATGAAGGTGGGGCCCAGGGGTAGCATTTCCACGCCTCCGGGGTCTTTCTGCCAGCACCGTCAGCATCCACTTCTGCTGCACCCCAAGCCCTCGGAACACTCTTAGACTGCAAGTTGAAACCAAGTACAGTCATGGTTCACTTAACGATGTGGCCGTGTTCTGCTCTCTGGGTTGTGGCGCACACATCATGGAGTGCACTCACACAGGCCAGGATGGCCATGATGTTGCTGGGTGGCACCATTTTATGAGGTCACCATTATCATCCATCATTGGCCTGTATATCCTTATGTGGCACATGACTGTAATTGCTAGGGTGTGGGGAGAGGTCATTAGGGAACCCTTTGTATCTGTGTTTTCCAATTCTTTCTGCCCACCCTTTGTTTGCATGCCTGCCTCTCCTCTCCACACTGCTTCTCAGCTGGTTAAACTACAAGCTCCAGCATCCAGTTCCCATTCTCGCTTTAAGTTGCCAATGAACTCAGTGTCAGGCTCCTTCTTGTTTTGGTGGCCCCGTTACTGGGGGAGGGGGGAGATTGTGTGATCTTGTAAGCTTCTGCTTAATTCACTGAACGGGGTAATTAATTTTCTGAGTGAGCGCTATTATCTGAGTGTCGAGTGTATTAAATAATTTTATATAAGTGTGTGTACATATGTGTGCATACGTGTGTATGCATATAGATTTTGTTTGTTTGCTCACCTGCATGCTTTTCTCTCTAATGCCAAGGATTTCTGAGCCAGTCCTTGCTGTAGGGTGACTGTGTCTATTATTTTTGCCAGAGGCAGCTCACATCACCGGCAAAAAAGCGTGCGAGAGAATGAAGGATGTCATCAGAAGGGGTGTGGACCGGCAGGTGGCTGAGGGCATGTTTGAAAGGGCTCAAGAAAGAATGCAGCACCAATTCCAGCAACTGAAGGTATCCTGTACCCACCTTCTGACTCTCAGCCCCAGGGAGGGCCCGGCGGGGGGGGGGGGCAAAGGGAGCTGCTGCAGAAGGTGGAGGAAGTAGTAGGCATTTGGACCCAAAGTGGAAACAGGCCAAGCCCATGGTGCCAGGAGAGAAAACCATGGAACTTGGCATTCTGTCTTCCTTGCCACTGCGTGCTGGCCTTGGCTCCCGCCTGGGGCCGAGACAACACAAATGCAGTCCCCCAGCTTTCTCCTGTGTCCTTCCTCTTTAATAAGTCATCACTAGAAGCTCTTGATGTGCGTTGGCTCATTTAATCCCCAGCAGGTCTGAGGGGGAGTGTCGCTCCCCCACTCGCAGAGGAACGACACCGGACCCTGCATTGTTCTTTTTTGCCCAGCCCTTCCCGAGTTTGCTGCATGTCTTTCACTCGCTGAGGAACGACGCCATCCCGGGTTAACTGCCGGTCCCCCCACCCCCCACCCCCGCCTCCGCGGAGGGGTGGCACCCCCGCCGCTTTCCCTGCTTCCGCAGAGCGGCACACTGCCGGCAGGCTCTCTCAGGGGGTGTTCAGATGTTCCTGGTGCATGGTGTGTCTCTCCTCCTTTATAGTCCTCTTCCACCAATCCCAACTCTGCTGCCCACACGCCGAGCACGCTGCTCTCCTCCAATCAGGGGCAGGATCAGCTCCTGCAGCTTGTTGGTCGAATTGGTGAGGCAGCTGTGTAGAAGTTGTTTGCTGTCTCTCAGGGCCATATGGTGGGAGATCAGATGCATAGAATTAGTCTTAGCAGTTCCAGTAATTTAGTCTAGTCTCGGTTGCTCCCCACAGGGGAGGTGCAGGAGTACCTCTGGGATATGGTGGATTTGGTTCCAGAACACTGTAGTACAGCAAGTATCACAGAAAAGCAACTCGCATGGAATTTTTTATTTCCCAATGCATATAAAAGTTATGTTTGCATGATACTATAGTTTCTTGAGTATACAATAGCATTTTGTATAAAACAATGTATGTACCTTAATTAAAAAACACTTGATTGCTAAAAAACGCTAACAGTCATCTGAGCTGTTTGAAAACTGATAGCAACAGGCTTGCTCAGTACAGGCTTGCCACAAGCCTTCAGTTCGTAAAAAGCACAGTGTCTGGGGAGCAGTAAAGTGAAGTACAATGAAATGAGGCATGGCTGTGCTTGACGCAGTTTCTGAGGAAGAAAACTCAGGTAGAGACAGGTATCACCAGGCCACGCAGTAAGGATCTGCGACCAGGTCACTTGGTTCTAGTGCCTCCAACAAAAGCCTACTCTTAAGGCAGATTTTTTTAAAAAGAGAGAAATATCTATATAAATTATCAATAAATAAATGCCAGTGCACGACTCTAGGTCAGTTACAAACCTAGCATAGATCTAAGGCTGAGCCCCAGTTCTTCTGGCTGGGTCAGGCTTAGTGGAGCCTCTCTCCCAACCACCTGAGGGGGAAGTTAGTGGCTGTCCCATAGTGCCCTGGACAAGCCTTCCAGAACCATCTCCAGCTGCCTCTGTCCACTCTCTTCCCCTCTCTGCACCACTGTGGTCTTGAAAAATGCCTTTCTGTGTAACATAGTGGATGTACAGGCATGTCCCACATAACGTTTGATCAGTGATGGACACCAGGTATGATAGTGACCCCATAGGATCATAATGAAGTTGAAAAATTCTTATCCCCTGGTGATGCAGGCACCACCTTCATTTGTGTAGCTTGCTCGTGGTTGCTTGCCTCATGATGAAATCGCCAAGCATACATTCTCAGCATGTGTCCCTGATGCTAAGGGATGTGTGACTGTCACTGTCCTTGGAGTAGGATGAGAAGTCAGTCTTACCATTGCACTTTCAGTCGTGTAACAGCTCATCACAGTCTACAGACACATGCAGGAAAGTCGCCAGACTCTGCAGCGCCCGTCCCCATGAGTGTACAGAAGTTGCATCTTGAGTTACCAAGGGAATAGTTCCACTAGAAGAATGATTAGCGTATTACCCATGTGCAGATAGTTCATAAATCACAGAAATGTAGGCAATTAAAACTGGGCAAGACCATAAAGTGTAACCATTCCTTGATCTTTTTTATTTTTTTGAAGAATAGCAGTTAACTTCTAATTGTCTAAAATATTTTAGTTCTATGTGATGAATAGAATTGGGTTTTATATATATTTAATGTTTGATGATTTACTGCTTTTTAAAAAATTATCTCATCACAATGTTCTTATAAGCTGAAGAATAATACTTTGTAGCATATACTCACCAGTCTGTAATTAATCAGTTATGTAGCTTGCTGATTTGTTTTCCCAAGGCAATGGAATGACTGCTTCTGATTTTACGAGCTGTGGCTCTCCCATCCCCTGGTCTTCAAGACAAGGGAGCTGAGGCCTTAGGGGCCTATGCTGGAGCTCAAGGTTAGAGCTCTTGGTCTGTCGTGTTGAAGAAACAGCATAAGAGTTGGAGTCTGAAAATCCAGGTCGAAAAGTAGACCCTAGAGGCCAGGCTAGAGGAAGGAATCTGGTGTTTCCCAAAGGTAGGCGAAAGAAAGCAGAGGGAAGAAAATGCTGTGGCTGATGAAGGGCCCAAGAGAAGCAAAGTATTCCCAGGCAATTGGAAAGAACTGGATTTGTCAAGGAAGGCGTGTTCCCCAGAGCTTCTAGTTAGCATTTATGCTGGGCGTAAATGTAGGAGAGGGCAGTGGGATGATGACCAGCTTCTCTGTGGTTGCTGTCGTCGTCCCCAGGCTGCCACGCATCCTCACTGGCTCAAGTCGTCTGGTCTGCACCAGAGGAGCAATTCCCCCACACCTTGACGGGGAGGAAAGGAGAAGTGGAACCCACAGGAGTGCTACTGTGGTGATTCCAGGGCTGTCTGATGGGCTCCAACACCCCTCACCCTTGGACTTGACTTTGCCTTTGGCAACCTGTGTCTGTATCCTCTCCAGCAGGGGCATTGGGCAGGGCCTGTTTTGTGATATCCCCTTCTTCTTGGGTGGCACTGATCTAACACGTAGCATGTCCTCATTGTGTAGAATGGGATCATGGAGAAGGTGAAGGGCAGCGTCGCCACCGTGCTCACCCTTGCTTCATCTCAGGGACACGGGCTCTACAAGGAGCTGGCAGGTAAGCCTGTAAAACTTCTGTGTATGGGATGGTTGTGCAGGCACGCCTAGTGCTGCTCTTCCCTGATTGTGTTTGGAGAAGCTGAGGTGGGAGGGGTTTCTAGGACTGGGAATGTGCATGGTGTTGGTGGCATGGCTACCCACCCTTTGTTGAGCGCCGTGTAAAAGCAGGCATTACACTGAGGCTGTGCCCAATGTGATGTCGAATTCTCAGCTTCTCAGAGACAGATGTTCCCGCAGATGCAGAGACAAACTCAGATTAGGTAATCTACCGAAGGTCCCATTGCTGGCAAGTGGCAAATTCAAATCCACAACTGCACCTGGCTGTCGCCCTAAAGCCTTCTTTCGATTTGATAGTTCCGTATAGAAAACTTCATTTTTCTGGTGGTGGAAAAAGTTTTCTCTTAGTCCCCCCAGAGAACCTGGGAATGAAACACCAGCTACAGGCAACCACCTCTCCTTCACACCAGGAACTCCACCAGGCCCCCTGGTCTAAACTGGAGGGTGTAATAAACTGGTGTGAAAAGTAGCGGGGAAGTTTCTAGCAAAATTAAAAAGGCACTTACCCTTTGACTCAACAATGCTACTTCTAGGAATTTGCCCTATTGACATCTTCCTATGTGGGCATTTGGATAAGGTTGCTCAAAGTGGCATAGTCAGGACAACTTAAATAGCTACCAGTAATTCACTGGTTAAAGTCAATGAGATAAACCGCTTGTAGAGGACTGTGCAACTTTTATTTAAAAAGAACAAAGCAGCTTTGTATAAAGCAGCATGAAACGATCTCTGAAATATATTATGAAAGTGAAAAACAAAGCAGAGTGAAAAAATATGTGTGATCCGTTACTGTTTGCGAGAGGAAGAAATGGAAATCCACGTGGATATGTTTGTCTATGCATCAAAATCTCTGTGGGGAACACAAGACACTGGTAACTCTGGTTGCCTCCAAAGAGGGGTGGCGGACAAGGGAGAGTGGGAGACTTACTCTGCACTCTGTTTATTTTGTGCCTTTTAAATTTTGAACCATGTGCACAGTTGCCCAGTAGGAAAAAAAAAAAAAGAAAAATAGATCTGAGGCTCTCAAGCATTCAAGGGTGCCAAAATAAAGTTGGGATGGCTGCTTCTACATGTCTGCTCTGCACATCCCTATCTCCTTGCAGATCATTAGCCCCCGGTTGGATGGACTCGGGCCTGCTCTTAATGGTCTCCAGAGAAGGAGATACACACCCTCATGCTCTAATTTATTGGGCTTGCTTATGACCTTCTGCCGAAACCTTCACAGGCACCAGTTTTAGGATTATAGTCATCCAGTTATGGCATCTTTAAAGAAGTCCTGCTTGCCAAAGATCTTCCTACTACCCCTGCCTTGCAGACATAAAAAAGTTCCCCTAAGTTTGATGTAGATCCCCCTGCCATGATTGTAGTCTGCTTCCTTTTCTTCACTATCAGAAATCCGACATAGATCATGTACAGGTACTGGGCCAGGTTGCTCTCGGGGTCTTGGCTGGTTGGTGTGAACGTGAATGCCCGGCTGGAGCGTGAGTCCAGTTCCTTCTGCAGGGCCCAGTGGTGTTTTAGGTGCGGAGGATATAGCAGTGACTGATGCAGACAAAATCCGTACCTTCCTGGAGCTCCCAGCACCCTGGGAAGACACACACAATAAGCCACTAAATAAGTAAAATATGTGGTGGGAATCTGAAATCTGGCAAGGGGAATAGGGATGCTGGGGTATGGGACAGGATGGCCACAAAAGAGCTCATTGGGAATGTAACACTCAAGCAAAGGCCTGAGGGAGGGGTCCCATTTGGACATCAATGGCAACAGTATTCCAACAGAATAAAAAGTAGTGGTTAAGTGGGGCTGGGATACTGGGGAAACCTCCTGGAAGCCAGATCTTAGAGGGTAGCCTTGAAAGACAGGCGGGGTTCAAAATGCAGTGAGGAGGAGGGAGACCTTTCAGATACGGAGCTAGACAGAAAGGCTGAGGCCAGCGCTGTGGCCTCGCAGGGTAAGCTGTCACGGACGCCTGCATTCCATATCAGAGTGTTGGTTTGAGTTCTGGCAGCTCCACTTCCAATCTAGCTCCCTGCCAATATGCCTAGGAAGGCAACAGAAAATGGCCCAAGTACTTGAACCTCTGGGATTCACATGGGAGACCCAGACAAAGTTCTGGGCTCTTGGATTTGATATAGCCCAGCCCCAGCCATTGGGGACCAGTGGGGAGTGAATGAGCAAATGGAAGATCTCTGTCTCCCCCTCTCTTTTTGTTTCTCTCAATGTAATTTTGCCTTTCAAGTAGGGGCTGGCACTATGGTGCAGGTCTACAGTGCTGGCATCCCAGCACCTTACCTCTAGCCATTGCAGCTATTTGGGGAGTGAACCAGGGATGGAAGACTCTCTCTCTCTCTCTCTCTCTCTCTCTCTTTACCTCTCTCTGTAACTCTTTCAAATAAGTCAAATAAATCTTAAAAACAAAGAAAAAAAAACAGACAGGGTTCTAACCACAGCTCGGCCATGAGCCCTATCCCAAGCCTGTTTGAGGCCCAAGTAGGACTGGGAAGGCATGCAGGAGCCATTCCAAGTCCAGCCCCAAGATCCTTCTAAAATGTCCCTCCTAAGAGGACTGTTTTGGTCAGAAGAAGAGATTGACGGAGGCTTGGTGAGCCTGAAATCCAGCAGAAAACACCCAGCAGGCTGGAGACCCCAGGAAGAGTTGCAGTTTTAGTCCAAAGGTGGCCTGCTGGAGGGCCTCTCCCTGCCAGGTGCGGGGGCTCAGCCTTTTGTTCTATTCAAGCCTTCAGCTGATGGAGTAAGGCCCACCCACAGTAGGGAGAGCTACCTACTTTATTGGGGTCCACCAATTTCAGTTTAAATAGCATCCAAAACACTCTCACAGAAACATCTGGAAGAACACGAGACCAAATACCATGCAAAATTCACTGCAGGTCATGGGTTGGAAACCTGAGTTGGCAAAAGGGAGCAGGTGCATTTGAGTAGAGGCTGGGGAGGAAGGACTGGGTGCATGGTGAGCTGCCTGCAGAGGACCTGGGCGGTACAGTGGTTATGTGATGTGCTTTGTTTCCCCTTTATGGAGCTCCTAGGAGGCCTTCGGAAAGACCCAGAGATTTCCCAGGGATTTTTTTTTTAAGTTAACTTTTATTTGATTTGTTTTCCTTTTGTTTGAAAGGGGGAGGAGAGAGAGAGAGACAGAGAGAGAGACAGAGAGAGAAGTAAATAAATAGATAGATAAATCAGTGTTCTTCCATCTCAGTAGATGGAAGTTCACTCCCCAAATGCTGGACCAGGCTGAAGCCAGGAGCCTGGAACTCAATCTTGGCTTTCACATGGGTGACAGGGACCCAAAGACTTGAGTCATTACAAGCTGCCTTACCAGATGTGCCTTACCAGGAAGCTGGAAGCAAATGTGGAGCTGGGACTTGAACCCAGGCACTCCAATATGGGATGCAGGCACCCAAGGGACGCCTTCACCACTGCATAGCAGAAGATGGCCCAAGTACTGGGGCCCCTCCATCCCCATGGGAGACTTGGATGAAGCTCCTGGTTCCTGGCTTCTGTCTGGCTCAGCACTGGCCATTGTAGCCACTCGGGGAGTGAACTAGTTGATGGAAGATCTCTATCTCTGTCTCTGTCTCTGCCTCTGTTTTGTGTGTGTGTGTGTGTGTGTGTGTAACTCTTTCAAACGAATAAATAAATCTCTTTTTAAAGATTATTTATTTATTTGAAAGGCAGAGTTAGAGAGAGCCAGAGGCAGAGAGAGAGAGAGAGCGAGAGAGGGAGAGAGGTCTTCCATCGGCTGGTTCATTCCCCAGATGGCCGCAATGGTCAGAGCTAGGCTGATTCAAAGCCAGGAGCCAGGAGCTTCTGGGCCTCCCAAGTAGGTTCAGGGACCCAAGTGTCTGGGCCATCTTCTACTGCTTTCCCAGGCCATAGCAGAGAGCTGGATCAGAAGTGGAGCAGCCAGGACTCAAACCGGCACCCATAGGGAATGCCAGCACTGCAGGCGGTGGCTTTACCCTCTATGCCACAGTGCCATCCCCTGAATAAATCAATCTTTAACCCCTGCACTACATGCCCGTTTCCAGGTGTTTGCTTTTAACGGACAGGTTTGTGCTTTTTTGAGGATGACGCCCACGCTGAGATTGGACTAACTCGCGGTGCATGCTCTCTGCTTCCCGCAGATGTCAAGAGTGAATACAAGGAGATGGAAAAGCTGCACAGGAGCCTGAGGGAGGCGGCCGAGAACGCGGTGCTGAGGAGGGGCATGCAGAGTTTCCTCCTGCAGCTGTCCCCCTGCAAAGCCAGCCCCCACAAAGCGTAACTTACATTCCTGGAGCCCGGTGACCAAGGGATAGAAAGGAAACCTGGAGCCCAGGAATCAGAATTACTTTGTTGATGTGGAATCAAGAGCATTTCCCAGCAAGTTGAGCTTCTGTGTGAGGTAAAACTCAACACATTGTTACTTCTGGTGTAATAATTTTATAGCAAAAAAAAAAAAAAAAAAAAAAAAAAACCAAAAAAAAAACAAAAAAAAAAAAAAACAAAAAAACAAACAGACATCGAGACTCCTTAATGGAAATGTAAAGCTTCAGGGGCAAGCACCTTGTGCTTTCCCAAAGAAAACTATTTATAAATGCCACAACACATGAACATGAGAACGAAAAAGTGCAAAAAAATTCAAAGAGACCCAGCTGTATTTGTACAGAAACAATGCTTTGGGGAAGGGGGCAAGGTTGTGCCACACAAACAGAAAGCCACGCGGACATGGGACCCCACCTCACTACTTCTCAGGGGCATTAGCTAACATCCGTGCTTTTACAGTCTTTTTTTCTGCAAGGAAAATTTTTAAAATTTATATAAAGGAAAAATATTTCATGTATTTGATATATACTGTTTTAAGAGCATAGTGATACTTCTCTCTCTCCCTCCCTCCTCCTCCCTTTCTTATTTTTCTTTTAAGTTTTGAGATGACATACTTTCTATTTACTTTATAATCACAAGCTTAACTCTCCACCAAATAAAGAACGCCTGGCTGGCGCTGTGGCATAGCTTGTTAATCCTCCGCCTGTGACACCAGCAGCCCATATGGGTGATGGTTTGAGACCCGGCTGCTCCTCTTCTGATCCAGTCCCTTGCTAATGTGCCTGGGAAAGCAGCAGAGGATGGCCCAAGTGTTTGGGCCCCTGCACCCATGTAGGAGACCCAGATGAAATTCCTGGCTCCTGGCTTTGGATTGGTCCAGCTCTGGCCGTTGTGGCCATTTGGGGAGTGGAGCAGCCAATAGAAGACCTCTCTCTCTCTCTCTCTCTCTCTCTCTCTCTCTTTTCCTTTCTCTGTCTCTACTCCTCTCTCTCTAATTCTGCCTTTTATTTTGAAATAAGTAAAGATAAAAATATTTTTAAAAAATTAAAAATTCAACAAATAGTAGAAAAACCGCTGTTCCTTGGGAGTATAGACAGGGGCTAGAAACAGTAATCAAATCTCAAAATGTCAATTTCATTCATATACAATACATTTTTTGTACTCAACACCTTTTTTAAAAAAATATTTATTTATGTATTTGAAAGTCAGAGGGGTCGGTGCTGTGGTGTAGTGGGTAAAGCTGCTGCCTGCAGTGCTGGTATCCCATGTGTGCTCTGGTTTGAGTCCTGGCTGCTCCACTTCCAATCCAGCTCTCTGCAATGGCCTGGGAAAGCAGTGGAAGATGGCCCAAGTCCTTAGGGCCCTGCTCCTGGCTCCTGGCTTCAGACTGGTGCAGCTCTGGCCATGTGGCAATCTGGGGAATGAACCAGCAGATGGAAAATATCTCTCTCTCTCTCTCTCTCTCTTTCTCTGCTTCTCCTTCTCTCTGTGTGTAACTCTGTCAAATAAATAAATAAATCTTTAACAACAACAACAAGAAGAGTTATAGAGAGGGGGAGAGAGAGAGAAATAGAGATCTTCCATCTGCTGGTTCACTCCCCAAATGACCACAATGGCTGGGGTTGGGCCAGGCCAAAGCTGGAAGCCAGGAGCTACTTCCAGGTCTCTCACATGAGTCTAAGTACCCAAGCACTTGAGCCATCTTCAGCTGCTTTCCCAGGTGCATTAGCAGGAAGCTGGATTGAAAGTGGAGCAGCCAGGACTTGAACTGGCGCCTGTATGGGATGCCAGCACCACAGGCAGCAGCTTTAACCCACTATGCCACAGTGCTGGCCCCATACTCAACACTCTTAAAAATTATTGAGGACCTCAGAACAGCCCTTAAGGCATTCAGATCCAGCTAAAAAGCCCATGAAAGTTTCTCAGGTATGGAAAGCCAAGACATTGTGGCAATAAAATAAAATAAAATAAAATAACCTAAATGAAAGATCTCTGTGAGTGAGATCCCAGCGGAAAAAAACGGGCCATCAAAAAATGAGGTACCTTTCTCTGAAGGGAGGAGAGAACTTCCACTTTGATTACGGCCTTGTTAAATAAGGTCGGAGTTTGTGAACTCAAGAGGCTTCCATAGCCTTGGCAGCTCATGACAAGAGCCTCGGGTGATTACTGACGCCATAAACAAGAGCTTCAATTGTTAAATCAACAACGGGAGTCACTGTACTCTTGCTCCCCATGTAGGATCTCTGTCCTTAATGTGTAGAACTATGCGAATTAATGGTAAAACTAGTACTCAAATAGTACTTTATACTTTGTGTATCTGTGTGGGTGAAACTGTTGAAATCTTTACTTAGTATATACCAAGTTGATCTTCTGTATATAAAGATAATTGAAAATGAATTTTGATGTGAATGGGATGGGAGAGAGAGTGGGAGATGGGATGGTTGTGGGTGGGAGGAAGGTTATAGGGGGAAAACCACTATAATCCAAAAGTTGTACTTTTGAAATTTATATTTATTAAATAAAAGTTTAAAAAATTATTGAGGACCCTGAAAAAATTTTGTTTAGCTGTGTTATAGCTATTGATATTCATTGTATTCAAAATTAAAACAAAAAATTTAAATAATTATTTACCAATTATTTTAGAAGTAATAACCACTATGTTAACCATAACATTTTTTATAAAAAGAATTATTTTGCAAAAAAAATGTAGTGAGAAAAATGACATTGTTTCATACTTTGGCAAATCTCTTTATTCTATGTCTTAAGATAGGATATTCTTGGGAGTATAGACAGGGGCTAGAAACAGTAATCAAATCTCAAAATGTGGGCCGGCGCCGCGGCTCACTAGGCTAATCCTCCGCCTAGCGGCGCCGGCACACCGGGTTCTAGTCCCGGTCGGGGCGCTGGATTCTGTCCCGGTTGCCCCTCTTCCAGGCCAGCCCTCTGCTGTGGCCCGGGAGTGCAGTGGAGGATGGCCCAGGTGCTTGGGCCCTGCACCCCATGGGAGACCAGGAAAAGCACCTGGATCCTGGCTCCTGCCATCGGATCAGCGCGGTGCGCCGGCTGCAGCGGCGGCCATTGGAGGGTGAACCAACGGCAAAAGGAAGACCTTTCTCTCTCTGTCTCTCTCTCACTGTCCACTCTGCCTGTGCAAAAAAAAAAAAAAAAAAAAAAGAAAGTGGTCATTTGAGGACTGAACCAGCAGATGGAAAATCTCTATTTCTCTCTCTCTCTCTCTCTCTCTCCCCCTCTGTATAACTCTTTTTTGTTGTTGTTGTTAAAGATTTATTTATTTATTTGAAAGTCAGAGTTACACACAGAGAGAAGGAGAGGCAGAGAAAGAGAGAGGTCTTCCATCCGCTGGTTCATTCCCCAGATTGACAGAATATCCTATCTGTTTCTGCAGGCAGTCTTTATTGGATGATGTAAATGAAAAAAATCAGTGTCACACAGATATATAGTTGGAATACAGAGAAGTATTTTCATAGCTTTTTCAGATAATTCCTGGATATTTTTCTTTTCTACTACATACTGATACATTTTATACTACAATTTTTAAAAATTTGATAGAGACATAGAAATACATATATGAGAGAGACAGAGTGCTCCCATCTGCTGGCACACTCCCCAAATGCATACAATAGCTGGGGATGGGCCAAGCAAAAGCCAGGAGCCAAGAACCCAATGCAGGCCGCCCACATTTTTGGCAGGAACCCAGTTACTTGGACCATCACCATTGCCTCCAGGGTCTGCATTTTCAAGAAGCTGGAGTGAGGGCCAGAGCTGAGCATCACAGCCGGGCACTCTGTTGTGGGATGCAGGCATCTTAACCACTAGGCTGTGTTTCTGCTCCAGTAGCTTCTTAAAGTTTAGTGAGAATCTGCATCCATACTGGTAATGTTCTTTTCCTATCCTATTTTATTAAAGTCCATGGTTTCTCTTGTACTTTGAATGGATTTTGTACAAATGCATGATTTTGAGGCATGAGACACTGGACATTTGGGAAGCATTTGATCACTTAGTGAAGTTGATATCCCAAATGTTGGTTTCATTGTGTGATACCACAAAATTATATTTGTTACTATCTCTATCAGTCTGATCAAGAAAGCCTTCAAGTATTGGGAAACATTCATAGTAGAGGAAACAGGTTTTACAAAATTCCAGATTTTTCCTGAAGAGACATTATTAGCAATAATTACTGTTAGTTTTTTTTTCTTCCCCCTGAGGTGCTAGGCTCAGAAACAGAGACACACAGAGAGAGGGAGAAGGAGAGGAAAAGGGAGGGGGAGGGGGAGGGAGAGCGGCCAGACGACTGGATCCATTACCTGTTGCCTCTCAGGGTCTGCATTGTGCAGCAGGGAGCTGGAATCAGGAACACAGCAAGACTCGAACCCAGGCCGCTGATCTGGGAGGCCGGGATTTAACTGCCATCTTAACCTCGATTTCAAACACCTGCCCCTGACAGGGTCCTTTTTTTCAGAAACTATTCACCATGTAACCACATATGCTTAGTCGTAGCTTGTAATTTCAAGTAAAAACGATGTCCTGTGAAAAATGTGCCAAGTTCAGCTCACAGCTCAATCACAGAGCACTTTTCCTTGAGGTAGCAGAAGTGCTTTAAATGTACTTCCCATTTTATCACACAGAATAATAAAATGGCATCTAAATGTGGGCCAGTAATGAATAGAATTAATAAGTTATACGGTTTCATTAAGGCCATTTTGAGTGAAATTGGATTTTTTTTTTTTTTTTGACAGGCAGAGTGGATAGTGAGAGAGAGAGAGACAGAGAGAAAGGTCTTCCTTTTTGTCATTGGTTCACCCTCCAATGGCCGCCACTGCTGGCGTGCTGCCGCCGGTGCACTGCGCTGATCCGAAGGCAGGAGCCAGGTGCTTCTCCTGGTCTCCCATGGGGTGCAGGGCCCAAGGACCTGGGCCATCCTCCACTGCCTTCCCGGGCCACAGCAGCGAGCTGGCTTGGAAGAGGGGCAACCGGGACAGAATCCGGCACCCCGACTGGGACTAGAACCCGGTGTGCCGGTGCCGCTAGGTGGAGGATTAGCCTAGTGAGCCGTGGCGCCGGCCAAAATTGGATTTTTATTTTTAAGTTGCAAATGCATGATGGTGAACAATCCCATAGTTGTGAGCCTTGTGTAAGTGTTGCTGCGAAGGTGCAGGTGGTTTTACCCACCTTTGCTTTTGCACCTTTAGTGAAAATATCAGCACTGTAAAAAAGGCACACACTAACTTAACATCAGAAATATCACCCAGAAGAACTTCTAGAATGATTTAGGGACCACACTTTGAGAACTGCTGCTCTAGACAAATCATTTAAACTCCCTGAATGTCAGGTTATTTGTCTGTAAAATAATGACGCTCACACTACCTACCCTGATGCTATTAGGTTGTCAGGAAGTTTAAAATAATGCTCACAAAGTCCTGACATACTGCACTTAGAATAGAACAGAACAGGAGACTAGAGCAGAAATAATGTGGGGTAGTGGCTTATCAGGTAGAACACTTGGATTCTGATCCCAACTCTGCCTGATCCTGATATGACCACTGACTAATCCTTACTGTCTCCAAGAATTCATTTCCTCAGACATAATAGGAAGGAGATAAGTTAGATGATTAAAAAAATAAGATTGTTTCTTTGAAATCCTAGGATGTTAAATCTTCCTTTTTTGTTGTGGTATCTTTTGCCTAAGCAAGATTAAAAAAAAAAAAAAGGACTTAAAGGAGTCAGTCATGTAAGTAGGTCTAAGTAGCCCTTTTCACTTCAAGCTTCTAAACACACAGAGTTCTGTTGCAGTCTCCATGGCTCACGTTTCATATTTCCAGTGAGGGGTATAGAGGGTGTCTCCTTTCAGGCATGATAGAGAAACAGGGCTACATCGTTTAGCCTTAAGTGCTTCAAAAACAGAGCAAAATTTACGAAACAACTGTTTGCAGGCCTGGAAGGACAGTCAGTTCAGGGCAGTGATCCCGGGAAGAAGGGAGATTAGCAAGATGAACCCTACAGTTGCCGCACGTAACTCCCTGGATGGAGTTTTCGGACCATAGCACAGCACGTGAGAACCCACGAAGAGCTGGATGTCCTTTCTCCCTGCGTGCAGGACAGGGAGTCCAGAGTCCGGGAGAATCCAACGTGATCAGAACTCACAGGAAAAGTACGGTGGAGGAGAAAGCTGAACAGAGAGCCCCGGAGCTTTAAGCTGAACTCAGCTTGCTTAGTTGTGCGTGGGAGCGAACTACCAGGGACGGGGAAGGACCCCCGGGGAAGGTGCACGCAGAAGAGTCCCTAAAGCTCAGTTCTGCTGAGGCGCATCCAGAGCGGAAAGACCTTCCCATAGCCGGCACATCGAGTAGATGCCTCAGGAGGGTGTTGCCTTAGTTGTGGGGCCCAAATAGTCCCAGACAAGAGACTGTCGTGCACCCACTTAACAAAGTGTACAAGCAAGCCTCAGAAGGATCCTACTGCATCCCGGAAGGAAACCTGAAAACACGTAAAGGAATAAAAAGTTCCAGGACTCCACAATGGAAAATTAGCAGTGTATGGCATTGAGACAAAAAAATCGCCAGATATGCAAAGAAGCAGGAAAATGTGTTCTATAACAATGAGGAAAATCAATGGAAACAGACCCAGGGACCAGCACTGTGGCACAGTGGGTTAAGCTGCTGCCTGATGTGCCGGCATCTCATATATGTGCCGATTCAAGTCCCGGCTGCTAGACTTCGGATCCAGCTCACTGCTGATGCACCTGGGAAAGCAGCAGAAGGTGCCCTGAATACCTGGGCCCGTGCCCCCATGTGAGAGACCCAGATGGAGTTCCAGGCTCCTGACTTCGACCAGGCCCAGCCCTGGCCATTGCAGCCATTTGGGAAATGAATCAACAGACGAAAGATCTTCCCTTCCCCTCCCCTTCCCTTCCCTCCCCTGCCCTCCCTCCCCTCCCCTTCCTCTCTGTGCCTACAGACTTGGTGTGTAGGGCAGAAAGGAGGCCTTTAGGGCTGAAATATCACCTGGCCATGGCTGCCAGAGTCCAGGGATGGCCCTGCCGAAGAGTTTTTATTAGCACTTTTAAATGTTTAAAACTTATTATTTTTTATTTGAGAATGAGCGAGTTTCCATCTGCTGGTTTACTACCCAAACGTCCACAACAGCTGGGCTTGGGCCTGGGCCAGGCTGAAGTCAGGAATGCAGAATGAAATCCAGGTTCTCATATGGATGGAAGGCACACAACCATTGGAGCCATGACCAGCTGCATAGCAGGGTGTGCATTAGCAGGAAACTAGAGTCAGGAGTGGAGCTGGGACTTGAACCCAGGCATTTGATATGGGACATGGTTGTTGTAACCGCCAGGCCAAATGGCTGCCCTGTCAAATATATTGTAACAATGTGCGTAGAAAAAGGGCAAGGAGGCAGTTGTCTCTTGACTCCACTTTAGCCGTGGCAAATACCTCCCTGTCTGGAGCGTCTCCAGCTTTCTAGCCTGGCAGGACTACACAAGGGTGGGTGGCTCTCTTCAAGCCCTCTGCCAGTTGAGGCCTTCATACACTTCTTCTCTCCTCATCTCACACCCTTTCTCCTCCTAAGAGTTTCTGTTCAAGTATTGTGCCCAGGAGCCCCATGCTCGCTCTT